GTAAACACCATGGGCAAGGGAGGTGTAATAATGAGAAATTCAATTTCCAGAGGCCACTCTGCCAAGATGACAATTCCTTGGATGTCCCACCTTTACAAAGGGACTGAAGAGTCATTCCTGCCCTTTTCAGCTAATGACCTGTCCAGCATGTTTATTATACATTCACGCAGCTGCGATTTCCTACAACACACTGTAACGGTTCATTCCTGGGGTCTGAGCTAAGAGGCTGCTGCTTTGCCCCGACATACAGCGTAGCTCATATGAGGAAGCTGGTTCTAAGATTGGAGGGTTCAGCAAGCCAGCTGCACACAGGGATGTTAGAAGTTGGGGTGCCTGTCCTGTCACTGAGGTTTGGAAGCATGCAAAATACTGAGCATGGTAGTACTGAAGTCCCACGAAGCACCGACACCCGAGTAACAAAGAGGGGCCCCGTGCTGCTCTGGGTCAGCCTGCATGCGGCCGGCCCTGCTCAGCCTCCTGCCTCCGCTCACCGTTCACACTTCTGGGCACAGGATTGGCACCGAGCTTGGCTTGCACCCTCCTGAGCCCTTGCATTGCGCCTCACAGGCCTCCTTCTTGGCCGTAGACCAGGGCCCTCTGTTTTCCCAGACCCTGGGGCTCACCTGGTTTCCCAGGAAGGAAACAGAGAGACAGCTCTGGCTTTGGAAACAGACAAACTTGGATGCCAGTCTGACTTCTCTCCTAACAAGCTGTGTGCTCTTGGCCAGATCACCCTGCTTCTCTGAACTCAGTTTCCTTTGTGGAAATGGGACAAGAAGAGCTTCCAACTCAGAGGTTCCCTGCCAGGAGGAATTAGCAAGTCCCTCCACCGTGCCATGGGTGATCCCTCCCTCCTCTGCACCCACACACTTTGCAGAGCTCCATCACACCCCCCCAAGGCCACACGGCCTGCTCTGGCCAACACATGAGGTGGACGTGTCCTGCTTAGTCTCGTGTGTCTCTGCCATTGTCACGAGAAGGCCAGGTTCACTGCTGGTCCCAGGAGGAGGATGAGCGGCATGTGGCACAGAGAAAGGGCAGAACCCAGGAGATCTGGATCACTGTTTCCACCTCTGCCGCCAGAACCAGCACTGCGTTGTTCCCACCTATTTGCTCCTTGCCCAACACCCAGCTCTGGGGAGTCGGAGTCTTGAATCAAGCTTCAGGAGTGCCCCTGCCCCCTGGGAAGGTGGGGACCACGCCCACTAAAGACCGCATCTGCCTGGTGCAACGGCCAGTCCTGGGGTCAGACCTGCCACGGGGCAGCGGAGTGGTCACGGGCAAGTCCCCAGCATCTGCTCCTGAACTGGAGAAACAAGCCCTGCCCTGCCCCCTCACAGGTGTGGGGCGTGAGGATGAAATGGGGTGAAGGCCAGGTGAGGTTAGGTGTAGGTTGTAGCTCCAAGAGGAGAGAGAAGCCAAGCTCAGGGGCCTAGACAATGCCGAGGGGCTCAGTGGGGAGGGGGCGCTGACCACTGGCTAGGTGGGTTGGAACAAAGCAGGGGGCAAGCTAGGTCCAGGGAGCACCCAGGCAAAGACCTAGGGATGCAAGAGGCCCGGCCAGGGCAGGGCTGCAGGCTGGGGGAGAGAGGGTGAGGCCAGGAGCAGGGAGAGTCTGGGGACACAGGTGGGCAGGGGGCTGGGTGGTGGGGGTGCAGAATGCCTGAGCCCGGGAGGTCAGGCTTGCTGCTGGACAGGTGCCCCCGTGTGGGGGAGGAGTTAGGGGAGGGGCCTGGAGGAGGGACCAGGTGGGAGGCCAGGGTCCAGGGTGCGGAGCCTCACCCCCCCACAGGGAGGCCAGGCGGTCTGCCCCAGCCTCAGGATGGTGGGCCTTCCCCAGGGACATGCAGCCATGTCAAAGCCAACAGAAATCCCCCCTTTGCCCAGAAACGGCCCTCAGGCTGGCACTGGGAGGGGCCCCCAGCCCTGCCTGGCATCCTCCTCAGGAAAAGCTGTGGCTGAGGACAGAGGGGCTGCCCCCATCCCAGGGTGGAGGCCAGGTGGGCCACAGGGACCCTGGTGTGGACAGGGATGAGCTGGCCACCTGGGGTCCTGGGCAGGCTGCCCACTGCCCAGAGCTCCAGCCAGCCCTTCAGCCACACCTCCAGCCCCACCAGCTGCGGCCTGGGTGGGGCCGGGGACCGCAGGCCCCTCCATGTTTCTGCCTCCGTGACTCCCCGAACTCTTTCTTACCATCTGGGTGGTCTGGGGGTGAGCCCATTTTAGAGACAAGAACCCTGAGTGATGGGGCCGGGACCCTGAGGCCTCTTGTGCCTCTGCCGCACCTGCCTTTACACAGAGCTGGACAACTAGCTCACGTCGCTGCCCCTGTGGGCCTCAGTTCCCTCACCGGGAGAGGAGTGAGAGTCCTCTCCCCTCCCTGGCAGGTCTTCCACATGGAAAGCGCATTCCCGGCAGGGGAGCAGCCCCTGCAAAAGCCCGGAGGTGGGACAGTGTGATGAGCTGGAGGAACTGCAGCAGCTCCATGGGGCAGGGGCCTGGGGGCTGCGGGGGCAGCAGAGCAGAGCAGGCAAGCCGGAGCCCTGAGGGGCGCTGAAAGCTGCAAGCCAGGAAGCAGACCTGCGCCTAGGAGGCTGGCCCCATCGCTTCCACCAGCAATGTCTTCTCTGCACCCCTTCCTGCAGTCCGGCCACAGAGCCTCCCGCCTGGGCCAGGGCAGCCATCTCCCTCGCAGCCCATGGCCTGCAGGGCTCACAGGGGAGTCCGCGTCCCCCGGGGCCAGACCCCCGGCCAGTCCCTGCAGCTGGGCGGCCCCCGGATACCGTCCTGAAACGTCCTGGTTTGTCCGCATCCGAGCCTCGGATGATGCTGTTCACCCTGCTGGCAGCCTTCCCCTAGTTACCTCGGAAAACCAAACCCTAACCAGCTCCCCATGTCACCTCTTGTGCTGTGCCTTTCCCGACTGCTTGGGGTTATACTAACCACTCTTTCTTTCTGGTTCCCCACTGACCCACCCACCACAAACCGACACGCTTCACTGTGGCCCTGGGAGACCTCAGCTCAGGGTATAAATGGAGAGGCTCTTGGAAGCAGGAGCCTGGGCTGGACTGTTTTCTGGCCCACCCAGCATAAGGCCTGACACCAAGCAGGACCTCAAGAAATGAGGGATCAGCTTCCCGGGGGGATGGGTAGATGGACAGATGGATGGACGGATGGATGAATGGGTGGATGGGCACATGAGTGGGAAGACGGATGGATGAGCTGGGTGGGTGGGTGAATGGGCAAGTCAGTGGGTATGTGTGGGTGCAGAGGGTGGCTGGGTAGTTGGATGGGAAGACACATGCACAAACAAACTCATCCCCCCACCCTTCACTTGACATGAAAGTGAATAAATAAAAACAGGTCATGCTAATTCCATAGATCTGTCCACTCAAAGGTCGCCCATCAAGGAAAATCGGAAAAACGTACCATTTCTGCAGGAGAACTGGGAGTGAGGTAGAATTCCTTCAAGTGCAAGAAGAAGCCCTCCAGTTGTCCAATCAGCAGGAGTAAAATGACTCCATCTGAAAACTACAAAGGAGGGGTCTGGAGGCAGTAGCCGGGGAACCCCACCCTGCCTTCCACAGGCTGTGTGATCTTGCAGAACCACTCTGAGCCTCAGCTTCCCTCTGTGACACGGGGAGGACACCTGGCCCTCGCAGTGTTGTGAACATCAGCAGTTATTGGCTGCCTGGCACACAGCAGATGCTCAATAGAATAAGCTCTTTGACATTTTCTATGAAATAGCCACAAATCACCTTTTAAGCCACCCAGTTTCATGAACTCATAAGCACAGGAGAAAACAGAGTTAAGTGTAAAATTATTCCATCAGGAAAAGGCAGAGAACAGCACACCAAACTCAATTCACTGGCTTCCACATTAATATTTCTGTCTCTTCTGTCTATATTTTCAAAGACAAAGCCATCCCTCAGCTACCAAGCATATCATATGCTAATATAATCCTATTCAATCTCTTCAAAGATATAAAACACAAGATTGGATATTGGAAGAAAAACCACTACTCCAAGTCCTTAATGGAATTTCCTCATATTAGGTCGGTTCCGATGTTATTAGTTTGGCCTGAAACCTTTTCTGCTGATAGTCCCTAGTCATACCACCAAAATACCAGGGACTTCAATATCCCTTCCTGTCCAACCATCTCTAAATACCTTCCTCACACAGGCCATTATTTAACCACGGCAGAGACACAGCTGGATCAGGTCCAGCAAGAACCTAAGAGCTCATTCAGCTCACACCCCCATAAAATATACTAAAACCACGAAGTTATCATTTAATGGAGGTCCACAATGTGCCAGGTAATATACTAAACACCAGATGCTCATGACCTCATTTATTACTCACAGTTCTATGAGGTTGGTATCCTTGTACCCATTTGAAAAGAAAAAGAGCCTGTGGTTCAGAGAAGTCCAGGTCCAAAGCCAGTTAATATGGAGGAGATGTCCCTGGAGCCTAGGGAACATGTGTCCATCTGGCTTCCGAGTCTGTTATTTTCACCTTGCCATGTCACCACACCATGCCACACACGCACACTGTTAATGTGATTAACATGTGAGGTAGTGGTGAGTATAGACTGGGTGCTTACAGCCTCGACAGGTTCAAATCTCAGGACCACCACTTCATTGCTGTGTGACCTTGCATGAACTAATTAATCTTCTGTGTCTTAGTGTCCTCGTCTGTAATGTGGGGTCATATCAGTTCCCCCCTCAGGTGATTGCTGGGAGTATTCAGTGAGTTAATGTATGTAAAGCAATTTGCTCAGGGCACACAGTGAGGGCTACGTTGGTGTTTTTCCAGGCACAGGAGTGTGTCAACCCGTTCCTTTGGCCTAATGTCAGGGTGTGTCTGGGAAGTCAGCAGCTCTGGCTAAGGTGGCCATAAGCCACTCGGTCCATCTGGGCCCAGACCTGACTTCCACTCCCCTTCCCACCCCACCGCCGTGCTGCATGGGCAGAACCCAGGCGGTCCAACACCACCATGTCCAGGTGATGTGCCTGGGGCCAGCAGGCTCGATGGCCGCCCCACAGGTCCTGGGCTGGCAACTGGCCCCCCAGCTTCCCTATTGCCCCATGTTGAGCAAACACCTATGGGACGCCCACAGTGGATGCTGATGGTCTAGCCCTGGGATGATTCAGCGCCAGCCAACCACACGGGCTGAGCAGTTCAGGAAGCCTTAGGACACACCGGCAACACCTTGCATACGGCACACACCTACTTGGCACTGGATGTGAGTGAATACCATACGGAGCGCAGTCACACAGAAGAAGCTCATGTGCTTTGAGTCTTAGTATCTGATCGTCTACAATTAATTTTGGAAAAAGACCTGAAAAGTGCTTATTCTATTGAAAACTAGTAACAACCACATAGATGAACCCCTTTGTAAAGCACCCCAACAGTCCCTGCTGGCTGGTGAGGCTGCCTGCCAGCAACATTCCCATTGGAGAGGAGGACCCCCAGCCTCCGAGAGGTGATACTCCCAGGCCACGCAGGGGTGGGCCCAGGCTCCCAGTGCCCAGTGGAGCCCTCTCTCCCGCCCGATTCCCACATCCCTTCCCTGTCTGGACACCCTGCAGTTGAGTCCCTACCTGCGTGTCCAGATTCTGCACAGACAGGCCCAGGCGGTCTAGCTTCTGATTGACGAAGTTCACGATGGCCTACCCGAGGAAAAACAAGGACCCCAGGCCCAGGACTCGGGTTTGCAACCTTCCACTCGGAGTCCAAAGAGCCCGCTAAGCACGAGGAGCATGGCAGGATGGAATGGGAGCCTGTTCCCGGCCCTCTGTCCCCTGGGGTGCAGTGCAGGTGGGCAGCGGGTGTGTGGCAGCAGAAGGGCCCCTGGGGGCTTTGACCTCTCTTACCTCCTTCACAGCACTCACTTTCTCTGGAGCCAGCTTAAATAATTCATCAAAGACGTCCTCTGCAGAGAGATTCAATAAACACCTCATTACAGTGCTACTATCTTTGGGCCAAATAGGCACTTTTTTCCCCACAGAAGTTTCTCAGAGTAACCAGTCTAGAGAGAGCTGTAGCTTCAACTCTTGTTTCTTGAATAAAAACTCGGGCCTAGGTCTGAGTCATTGCCCCCCAGGCTGTGTGGCTGGGAGAGAACGGCCTCCCCTCTCTGGGACTCATCTGTCAAGTATGGCTGATGATACCTACTAGGTGGGGCCGTTGCAGACATCAAACCCGGGAGCAGATAACACACTTTGCCCGGTGGCAGGGCACACAGTAGGACTTGAATAAACAGTTGTCCTTTCTGCAGTGGACGCCCGTTATCAGCCACCATCCCTTCCTCTGGGAACTCGCCCTGCCTCCTTCCAGCCTCCTGCCCCACCCACAGGCCCATGGGAGCTGAGCAGGGCCAGCCCCAGACCTGTTTGACCAATAGGTCTTCTCCCTGGTGTTTCTGGATTGGCAGAATGAGGGCATCGAGTCTTCCCTGCGAGTCTGAACCTGCAGACTGCGAAAGGCCAGCACCCTCAGCTGCTGAGTCATGCCCGCAGGGCCTGGGGACAGAAGGAGCGTCTTGGCGGCGCATGCCCCTAGGCCAGCCTCAGACACCTTGAGTCCTCAGACTGACGTCCTTTTCCCACAAGCTGCATCCCAGCTATTTGTAGCCAACACCCCTCCCCTGGGGAGACAGTCCTTGGCAGGAATACCCAAGCTGGGTGGAAGAATTTACCTTTGGACTCTGCCACTCAGCAGCTGTGTGAGCTTGGGCAAGCCCTTTACCTCTCTGTGCCTCAGTTCCCTCACTAGCGAAGGGGAAAGTCAGCACCAGAGAGCAGCATGCGTGCTGAAATGCCCCATAAACTGGCAACGATAGAAACACCAGCACTCCCTTCGGAACTCCTTGGGCCCCAGGTCAGGGAAATCGTGTCACTGAAGGAGGCAGGAAATGAGGGGCAAATGTGTGCTCAGATGGCACGGGCCAGAGCAGCGTGACTGTGCCCGGAAGGGCTGTGAGGAGGCCCTGCTCTGGGTCCCAGCCCCCCACCACGTGAGCCATCCCCGTGCTGCCCCCCAGCACTGCTCCCTGGACACCACGCACGCCCTCACGCTGCCCCTCCACACACACAGACATCAGCCAGCCTCCCACGTACCCCCTTGTCCTTCCTCCCCCATTCATCTTCCCTCAGCTCCTGCTCTCAGACGCCCCTCAGAGGTCATTCCTTCTGCTTCCGCATTATTTCTACCCCCCAAAGAATCCCCTGCCTGTGCAGCCCTGTGTCCTAAGCGGATGCTGATGGTCCAGCCCCAGGACAATTCAGGGAGGGAAAATCACATTAGGATGGGAATGGTGGATGGGTGACGGGTAAAGATCGCTGTCACAAAAGCAGCAGCCACATGGCTGTGCAATCACTATTAAGCACCTACTCTGTGCTAAGCACACTAACAAATTCTCTTTTAACCCTTATCACCAGCCAAGAGGTGGGTGCCTTTTTACTGTAAAATTAATCCCATTTTACTGATGAGGAAACTGAGGCACAGACAGGTTAAAATGCTCAAGCTCCTGTGGCCGATGAGGAGGCGAGCTAGTGTTTGAACTCAGGACATCTGGATCTGGGGCCCACACACTGATAACACCTCTACCGTCACCGCCGAGGGGGAATCAGAAATCTCTTTACCCATATGAGCAGGATCATGAGAAGGAATAGCCAAGACCATGGACAGACAGACAGACAGGAGGAGAGACAAACAGAAAAGAAAAGGCTTGAGATACACACAGACTGCAAAGGAAATGGGAGCGAACATCCATCCATTAACCCTTCATCGTTACTGTCTGTATTAACACGTATCCAATAGAAAAAGATGTCCTGAAGTCACAGAAGTACTCACTCGAAGGCTGGTCCTTGTCTGTGCTAGGAGGGGAGAAAGCAAACAAATGGTTAAAAAAAATCTCTACCCCTGTAGTTTCTTACTAAGCCACGCCTCTGTGCTGGCAAGGCTCACACACAACCTGTATGAGCTCCTCTTTGTTTCCCAGCTGCTTTGTAGCCAGGCAGGGTCCCTATGGGAAGCAAATGGCAAGAGGTTCCTACCCTTCTGCGGAGGCGTCCCCACCTGGCAATGTTTGGATTTTGCCATTTTGTGGTTGCTGTTTTAGCCGGGCGGAGGGGCTACACATACCATAAAAGGCACAAATTGTAAGTTTACAGCTTGTGCACTTTTACCTATACACACCTGTGTGATCACCACCGGCAACCAGACACAGCGCGCTCCAGCACCCCCGCGTGCCCCCACCCCATCCAGCCACAGGGATTACCACCGCTCTGATTTCTCTCCCTCCCCATGGGTTTTGTCCTGCAAGTCCATGTAAATGAGATTGATCGGATAGTCCATACTCTTTTGTATCTTTGTTCTTTCACTCTAGTTTTGTTCTTTCTGAATGATTTTTCTTGGACTTTGCTGTGAATTTTGTGTCCCAGCCCTCCCGGGAGAGCCAGGCGGCCCCTCTGCCTGAGGCCCTCAGCAGGTTGCTGGGCTGTGCGGGGTGGAGAGGATGGCCTGAAACACAGACCCCGGGCTCTGCCCAAAGGCAGGTGCCAGGCAGACAGATGCCCCGTGCTGCCCCAGACACAAGCAGAGAGTCAGGGGTGCACCCTCAGGAAGGTTTCCAAGTGCATAAAGGGGGCTGAGCAGGATGGCTTTAGGGCCATGATGAGGAAGGAACTCAATGCCGTGAACACAGACCACGCCTTCCCACTCGGGGTTCCAAAACTGATTCTCAGACCCTCAGGCTTCAACATCCTAGGAGTCAGTTTGGAGTCGCTCAGTGACTGGGTGACCAGGAGATCCCTTGGCCTCACTGAGTCAGAGGGGAGCAAGGCTTCCTTCCGGGGTGTCCTTGAGAAGGTTAAGTGGGCCAATGAGTGCACAGGACCCACTGCAGGAGGGGCCAGCAAAGGTCTGCTTCCTCCTGACCTTTGCTGCCTCAGCTCACATGCTTGGGCCACAGCGGCTCCTTGCCATCAGCTTCCCATACTTTGAGCCCCTGCCGTTCCCCAGTGGAAGTCCAGGAGCCAGAGGCTGCCAGGACCTCAGGGACGCAGGAGGCCCCCCTCCCACGCATCTTCTATTACCCTCATGAAAGCCTAAAGGGTAGGAACGGGCTGCATTTTTCAGAGGAGTTAAGAGGCTCAGTGAGGAGCAGTGACTTGTCCAGGGTCACAGAGCTCAGACATGGCAGAGCAGACACTTAGGCCCAGGTGGGGCTGCCTGCCAGGCCTGTGAGCTGAAGAGAACTGAGCTTGCCCAGCTGGGCTTCGTGGGGGTTAAATGGGTCAAGGGAGCCCAACAGCCCAGTGCCCTGGGCAGAGTAGGCCTCCAGTAGGCGTTAGCCAGGAAGGGAGACTCCCCAGCTTTCCTGCAGGAAGCCCGTTCTGACACCAGGCCAGGGAGAGCTGCCAGGATGGCGGGGAGGCCCGAGGGACGCGCTCCCTGGCCGGCAACCCCTGGCTTCCTGCTCACCCAGACGGACGAAGGGCCAGCCGCCGGCTGACTGGAACACTCACGGACAGAGCCCCCCCCCCTGCACACAGTAGGCGCTCAATTAGTGCTGGTGGTATGAGTGAGCACCTGAGAGGGCCCTTGGGGCGCTGCGGTCTGGCGGCCAGGTTCCCTACCGTGGAGCGAGGGAACGCTTCCCCTTCCCCGTCCCCGACCCCTCCTCCAGACTCGGGGGGCTGGGCTTCAGGGAAGCAGCAGGCATCAGGGTCCAAAGACCCCATTTCTGGGCTCCTCCAGGCCTCCAGTGGCTGTGGTGCAACCTCGTTGGCGTGGGCCAGAGCCCCTCTGACCCCAGCTCTGCCTGTTCTGTTGGGCTGTGCAGGGGCCGAAGAGCTGGCGGACGTGGGCATTCCCACCAGCCCACGAGGGCCCTGCCCCAGAGGCTAGTGGGATGGAGGGCCCCTGTGTGCCCCTGCAGGACTGAGGAGCCAGCGAGGCCCTTGGGAGGCTTAGAGGAAGCTGGCAGAGTGTGAGGGCTGCCCCCAGGAAGGTCACGCCGCTGTGGCCCTGCCCCAGGCCCCAGGCCTGTTCCCGGGAGGCCGCAGCCTGGCCCTGCCCTCACCTGCAGTCCGTGAGCTGTTCCACCAACTTCTTGGACTTCAGGCCGCTCCTGGTGCTCTGAGAAAGAGCAAAGGGAAGACACTGAACAATCCCAGAAACCTCTGGGTCCCACACCTGCCGCTAGAAGACTGTGGTGGCCAAAGCAGCCCCACGGGACCCAGTTTCGTCTGCCTCACCCCCTCCCCAGGGTGGCCCTCATCACACGTGGCCTGGCTTAGCTGTCCTTCTTCCCCAGGGGCCTTGAGCCCTACGAGGATGGAAACCATGTCTGCCTTGTCCCTCGGATATCCCCCGAGTCTCACCCAGTGCCCGGCTTGCAGGGGTCAGTGACCATGTGTTGACTTGAATAATTAATGAATGATGGACAGGTGGGTGGATGGATGGATGGATGGATGGATGGATGGATGGATGGATGGATGGGTGAGTGGGTGGATGGACAGGTGGGCAAGTGAGGGAATGAGTGACAGAATGACAGTCAAGTCACTTCTGACTTTAAAAGTAGTATAAGCATTGAGTCAATGTGTTTTTAGAAATGAATTCACCTGAGTCTGGCTAGACTTGTCTTGTTCTGTCAGGTGGAGTCAAAGGTAAGCCCCGGCTCAGGGAGCCCTGCAGAGGTTGGGGGGAGAATAAAGAGGAGCAGGCGCCGGTGGGACCCTATTTGTAGTGCTAGAGTCTGTCTGAGGGGGAGCCAGGGACCCCTGAGGCATTAACCAGCTCAGTGAGAAAGGGTCCCATGGGGTGCGAAACCCAAAAAAGCCCCCTAGAACCACCACCATACCATCAGTTAGTGACAGAGGACAGTACAGCAGTGACCAGGGCAGTGGTTGTGACTCAATGGTGTGAAGGCTCTGAAAGGCCATCAACAGACACATATGGCCCATGTGACACAGCTGACATCAGCCAGGACCTTCCTCACACCCCCAGGCAGATGCCACCTGCTCAGGAGAGTGGGACTGGCCTTCCCATGGACCGTCTCGGGGCTCTGTGGAACTTGGCATCTCCCACCCCCAGCTGCAGCCCTATGCCCCACTGCTGTCCTGGGAGTGTGTGACAGATCTAGAACATACCCTGGTTCAGCTCCCAACCCTCACAGCACCCCCAGTGCAGGACCCAAGGTGCTCAGCCCAGGCCCAGGCCCCCCGAGGGGCCCAGCCCCTTACCTCTGTGGTGACCATCTCCACCTGCACATTGCTCGGGAGGGGCAGGTCAGGCTGGAAGCGCTTGGCCAGGGCCACAAGGAGGTGCAAGGTGGCCAGCAGGTCCTTGTTGAAGATGGCTGGGAGGGGTGAGGGGTACAAGGTCAGGACCCAGGGGCCACCAAAATGTGGGGCCATATGGAGGTTTTTCTTATGGCCACAAAAACCCTCTGCAGACCAAGGAGATCTCTGTCCAGCCTTCTGGAAAACAGAGGTCTGGAGATAGACATTCAGAACCCCAAAATAATCACACTTTGTCCCAATCACCCCACTTCTGTGAAGACCCTAAAGTCACAGTCCAGTGTGTGGACAGGGCTTTAGACAGAGATGTTCGCTGCAGTGCTGTTTACATCAGAAACAACTAAATGTCCTACAGCTGGCACAGATGGAATAAAATTTTAGATTAGGGTGAATGGGATGAAATTCAGAGCCCACACTATAAACATCAATTATCAAACCTGAGACCAAACATAGTGGTGAAGGTATGACACGGGGGCCACCAAAAACTGGGTTTGCAAACTGCTAGATCACCACCCAGCCTTGGAGATGCTGCTTAACTCCTTTCAGCCTCAGTTTTCTGGTCTGGAAAATGGGGAGGATATACAGATTGGAAGGAGGCAATTCATACCAAACTGTTAATGGGGTGGGTGAGGAAGCCTGGACGTTTTGCTCACTCCACTTCTTATAAGCAGACATGGCAGATATAATTTAAGTAAATGAATGGGACTGTTAGTGCCCACGTGACCAGTGGGATGGGAGCATCGTGGCACGTGGAACTCTGTGAGCAGTGGCGTGTTTTTGATGTGGCCGCGTTTATCATCATTGTGCTGTCCTTGCTGCGGCGACACCCTCAAGGCACAGAAGTGGGTAGGGCTGCCTGCTCCTCAACTGGGCGCATGACTTTGTGCATGAGGCTTTGCTTCTGCCACCTCCCAAGCACCCAGGTCACCCCCATACCTGGGGTGCATGAGCGTGCCCACTGGGTCATTGAGAAGCCTTGGAGCAGAAGGACCCGGGCTCCTCCAGACCGCCCCTGGACACCAGCCCCGGCCGAGCCCACGTACTCTCCACGCTCCACTTGACCTGCAGTTCCTCCACCTGCAGACTCTGGTTGGCTGCCTCCAGGACGACCTCGAGCTTGCGCCTCTGGCTTGCAGCCGTCAAGGCAATCTCCTCTGCTTCCACCTTGAGTGCGGCCAGCTTCTCTGAGGGCCAGAGAGGGCGGGAGAGGGCAAGGGTGGGCTGGGGAGGGCAGGGTGAGGACAGTCTGCTTCCCCCAGGAGGCCGAGCCCCTCTGCACATGGGGAGTGCCGGCCCTCTGAGCTGCCTCCACTGGCCTCACCTTGACCACTCTGCTCCCTGCCCCCTTTGCCTTCTGCACAGCTGTGCACACTTCCTTTCGGCAGGACAGCGTGGCCTAAACTCCTAGGCTTATATCCTGACTCCCTCTTTCCTCATTGTGAGACCCTGGACAAGGTGCTAGGCGTCCCAGCACCTCTGTTTCCTCGTCTGTAAAATAGGAATAGTAACAGTGTAAGGCTGTGCTGAGGATTAACAGCACCTGCCCCCAGCAGGTGCTCAAGGGGCCTTGGTGGTGGCTTGTAGGATTATTATTCTGCTGCCCATCTACAAAGGACTTGGCCAGGCCCAGGCTGCAGAAGACCTGAATCAAGGCCACCCTTGCCTCCAAGACCTTACAGCTTTGTGCAGGAGACAGACATGTACACCAAACACAACCTCACACAGCACAGGGAGAGGGTAACTGGTGCGGGGAGGGGCCCCGGGGCCAGGAGGCAGCCCTGCTGTGAACGTGGCAGGCTAGGACAGGCCTCCTCTGGCTGCCAGGGTCACCTCCCCACTGGCCTGTTTTCTCTCTGGCAGCCTGAGGGCAGGGACAAGGGATTCTCTGTGGTCCTCAGCAGCCACAAACAGAGGCACTCGATAATTGCCAGAGGCAATGTGGGGGAGGGGGAGTCCAAGGCCTGGAGTGGAGGAGCAGTAACTGTTCCCTGGAGGCCGAGTGGAGAGCCCACCTGGGGCGCTTGAGGGCCCAGGTCAGGGGGGATGGCCCTGGGCAGCCCCAGGAACAGCCACTTACGGAAAAGGTGGTGCAGGATGAGCCCATCGAACATGTCCTCCTCCAGGCTTCGGACCACAATGTGCTCGGAGTGGAGCTGGGTGTTGATCCACTCCATCAGCACCTGCAGGCCCCCATGGGACAGCTGACCCGGGGCCACTTCTCACCTGGCCTTCACCTGGCTCAGCTCTGCCCTCAGCCTGGAGTGCCCTCCTCCCAGCTGCCAACTCCTTCCCATCCTTCAAGAGCAGGTCAAATGTCACCTCCTCTGGGAGGCCCTCCTTCATTGCCCAGACTGAGACAGGGCCTGATCTGGACTCCTGAAGACACTTTGTTTCTCTCCACTACAGACCTAGGCACTGTGGGCTGCTGTTTGTCCTGTCCAAGGTTTTGGGACCAGGGAGTGGGGAACTGTTGTAACAAATACCCCAAAGCAGGGAGATGGAATTGGTAATGGAAAGGGTTTTGAAAGCACTTGATAGAAAAAGCCTAGGCTGCTTTACAGAGGCAGTTGGTAGAAACATGGGCATCAAATAGGCACTTTGGTGAGAGCTCAGAAGGCAATGAGAGGCAGAGGAATGCCAAGGCTGGGGGCCACCCGGTGTGGGGAGAGGCCTGGGATGGATTCTCCCCCAGAGCCTCCAGGAGCCAACTCTGCCCGCACTGTGATCTTGGACTCCAGCCCGACCGAGAGAGTGAATTCCTGTTGTTTTCAGCCCCCAAGTTGGTGGGACTTTGTCTTGGCAGCACTGCAACACTAACGTAGGGGCTGCTGCTGTCCCTCCTGACCCTAAATTTTACCCCTGTGGTGCTCACCTCTGCTCCTCTCTGCAGCCCTGCCCGTGGGCCGACCCTGGAGGCCGGCCCACCCTGCTTGTGCTCCACAGGCCAGAAGGCAGAGGTGCGATGCCCGCCTTTAAGGGCGTAGCCCCTGGGACCCAGGTGCTGGTGCAAACAGCCCGCTCCTCCGCCACATGGGAAGCCTCTCAGGTGCCAGCTCCACACTGGCTCCCAGAGCTGCATCTGCTCCAGCCCTCACCTGGGCGGCGCCTTCCCTGCCCATCTTATTCCCCACTGCCCTGCCTTATCTCCTGCGACTGCCACCCACTTCAACTGCTTGACCCAAATCCTCGCCTCAGGACCAGCTCCTGGAGGAACCCACGCTCAGATGCGTCAGCACCCTGCCAGGGTTTCCAGGAGAGCTCGTGCTGCTCCATGTCCCAGTGCCCAGGGTGGGGGAGGTGGATGGAGGGAGTGAGGGACTGGGAGGGACGAAGGCAGGAAGGGCCAGAAAATGGGCCAAAAATCCTCTGGGGAAGGTAGAAGGTGGTGGGGTGGGCCAGGAAGCCCTCCTGGAGGAGGCAACAGAAATGCCACAGGGAGACTGGAGAAGTAGGGCAGAGAAAAACAGGCCCCGAGCTTGTCTGTGGCCAGCCAGTCTGAGCAGCAGACTCACAGCCAAGAAGAGGGCCGGCCCTGGGCGACCAGCCTGCTCCTGCCCATTTCACGCCCCTCCGTTGCCTTGGGCGGCTGAGCAGGCGAAGGAGCACAGGCTTGGGGGGCTGATGGCTGGGGCCAAACCCTAGCTCTTCCACTGGCCTGCCTATGTCCCCTACAGGTCAGGTCACCTCTCTGGGCCTCACTACCTGCTCCCTGGGATGTGGGTGACAGTGGAGCCCCTCAACCATCGTGGGGGTTGCTGGGATCATGTGTGTGAAAGTACGGTCTGTGCTCCATAAACGTTCCTTCAGGGGGTCTTCCCACTGGTCACTGCGCAGCGTCCTGATGTCAGGGAGGGGAGGTGGCTGCCTGCTGTCCCTGAGAAGATGACCTGACTGCCTCCAGGGAGCACAGCAGGGAAAGCAGAGGGGCTGCAGTACCTTCTGCAGTTCGGCCAGCTTCGGATCCGCCCGGGAGGTGGGTGACAGGTATTTCTTCTTCTGTCCTGGAAGCAGAAGTCAGGATGACCCGTGTGTGGGGGACCTTGCAGGGAGCTGGGAAGCTCTCTGCAAGTCACCACAAAGCCAGCACCTTGACCACAGGGAGAATTTAGCCCTACTACTTCACACGCACCCACATGTGTATGTGCACACACACACAGTTACACAGACACACACAGATACCCAGGCACATGCACACAGACACACACAGACAGGGCCACTCAGACACACATACACCCTGAGCACCAAACGTCCAAAGTGACTTGGGTTTCCCCAGTGTGCCTTGTCCTCCACACCTCCTTCCTTTGCCCATGCTGTTCCCACTGCACCCCTAATGCTTTTCCCTGCATTTCCCTCATGAGCACCAGCTGATTCTCACACATAGCAATATTCATATTCGGAGGACATAAACTCAAAAACTGTTTCTTGTCCATCTGAAATTCAAATTTAACTGGGTGTCTTGTATTTTGTGGCAACTTTACCCACTTACTAGAGAAGCCACCACTCAGACCACTGACAAGCCCAGGAGCGGGGCCCCGCGGGCTGAGGGATCACCCATATGTCTGGCTCTTGGAGCTCCAGAACCCTGGTCAGCAGTGATTCCTCATATTTCAGATGCACAGAACCCACAAATGTCAGGGCCTAGAGGGACCTGCGAGGTCACATAGTCCCAGTGGACATGGGGGAAACTGAGTCACCCCCTGGGAGCTGCCTTGCCCACATTCACAAAACGCACTGTCTCTTCTTCACATGACCCAGCCGAAGACTTTCCTCCATGTTCTGAAGACCCGAGCACTGCCCAGGCCCGGGTCTCCCAGCAGGAAGGAAGGCTATCTGCCCCAGAGGAGCGGGGGGCCCCGGACCAGCGGGGGGTGGGGGGGCGGCTGGATGAGTGAGTGAGAGGTGACCGTGGTGCTGCTCCGCCCTCCCCGGAGCAGATTCCCGGCCACTCTGAATCACCTCATGTTCCAGCTCTGCTAAATCAACTATAAAACAAAAAATACATATATTTTCAAACAACTAAGCCTGCCACCCTATGAGCAGTTTTCCTCACGTGCTTTCTAAGCTGAAACCATTACAAGCAGAGAACACCAGGCAGTTAATGCGCAGCCCTGAGGCTTTGGACCCGGCCTGCCGACTCCCCGGAGCCCAGGGTCTCGCTCACTCTCCGCGGGACTCTCAGCCCCCCTGTGTAAAAGGCTGTTGTCACAGGATCGAGCTGAAGTTGCGTTGTGCGCCTTTGCTCAGATTATTTCACACTTCCTTCTCCAGCATCGTATTTCTGTTTTAAAGGTCACGTAAGTTCTAGCAGGGTCACTTAAAGCCCGTGCCAAGAGGGACATTCGGGTTGCCCTCTGGTTTGTTGTTTGGTTTCTGTAACAGGGTGGTAACAGCTATGGGCACCTGCCCTGGTCCTTCTTTTAAACCATCTTCTAGATTTCAGGGGCCGTGGCCACAAACTCCCCAGCCTCAGAAAACAGACACTTGCCTAAAGGGGACCCGCCCTCGTTGAATTGCTCCTGTCCTGTGCCCGCCCACTTTCCAAAGAAACCCGCAAGAGTGAGGGGGGCAAATAAGCAGACCCCCAGCCTGCCGGGTGTCAGATCTCTGCCAGCGTCTGCTGAGACCACACAGTGGGCGTGGAACCTGAACCCCGGAGCCGCCCTCCTTGCATCCAGAATCCTGGCCCCACCCCTTCTAACGGAGGCAGCTGTTACTCTGCTATCTTCCTCTCTGTGCCTCAGTTTCCTCTTTTATAAAAAAGAGATAATAACACCTACCCTCAGAACAATGAATGAGTTGCTGCCTATTAGAAGTGCTTAGCACAACACCAGCACATAGTAGGCACACATAGCAATGGGTATCCTCATTGTCAACCTAGAGATGTGCAGTTTTGGATAACTGCAGAAGGTTCTGGAAGCAGGGTGAGGTGTCAGGTATAAAGCAGAAGGCACAGGCAGGAGCTGGACAGCTGGGTGCTCAGTTACAACTTGGAAGCAATGCCATGCCCGGACAGCCAGCTTTGTTCCTGCGGTGTAGACCCTCCCCTCCGCCCCACCTGGACCCCAGTCCCACAGGGGCAGGCACCTTGCAGGAGCTCCTCGTCTGCTGGTGGTGTGGCCTCCTTGGGAAGCTGCAGCAGGTTGTACAAGGTCTCTGCCTCCATGTCTCCTTGCCAGCCCTGGGGATGCAGGGAGCAGAGGGCGTCTCTTCTCCCAAGCCAAGCAGGGTAGGAGCTGGCTACGGGTGGGCAAATCACTGTGCTGCCAGGACAAGGGGACAGTAGGCAGGAAGATGGGTGGAGAAAGGCACACAGCTGTAGGCACAGCCTGAGCAGGCGCCTGGCAGGGATGTGGTGCCTCCTCAGCAGGTGCAGAGCGGCCAGACGACCACCCCCAACCCGCGACAACATGCAGGAAGCCTGGGCACACCCTGCGCCAGGAGAAAGGAGCTTGTCAGGGTCCAGGAAATCGCAGGCTGAGCTCCAGAGGAAAATCAGGTGGAGGGGTGAGGGGGCATTGGGGGCCCATTTGGGGGGCTGGGTGGGGTGAGCATGCTGAGGGATGAGCTCCTGAGGGCCAGGGGGCACCAGGCCTGTCCCCTCTGGGCCCCAGAGCCTGGAAAGGGCAGGCATACAGCAGCACCCACAGCCTCTGGGCGAGCAGACCGAGCTGGAGTGCCCGCGTCCCCCAGCTCACCCACCACTCCTGCCCTGCTCTCTACAATGGGGCTGATCCTCTCCAGCCTCTCAGGTAGTTTGGGGGTCTCGCAGCTCCTGCCGGCGCAGTGCGCGTCACCCTGCCCCGTCCTCATTACGGGCAGGGGGCCGGCCTCCCCCCAGGCCTGGGAGGTGCAGGTTCAGAAACCGCCAGGCCTCCTTCCTGTTGCCCAGGCTCACTTCCTCTCCTGCTCGGCTGCCAGCTCTGCCCTCCGTCTTTCTCCCTCTCTAGCCCCTGGTCTCCCCAGCATTTCCAATCCCAGTCAGACACTTGGGGTGGGGTGTCATGCAGCAGAAGGTGGTGGTCAGCTCCGGCCTCCGGGGAGGCCAGTGGTGAGATGGAGGCGTTCACTGGGGCTGGAGCTGCCCGTCACACCAGCAGCCAGCCTGGGGACACAGGGCACTGCCCAAGGCTCTTCCCGCAGTGAAGCAGAGAGGGATGCTGGGCCATCTCTGTCCCCTGAATCCCCAGGCTTCCTTTGAACAAGCTTTGGTTTGAGGACTGTGGCCAGGGAAGAGGGAAGAGCCCGGCCTGGGGGTGCAGAGGTCTGGGCTCCAGGCTGGCTCCTCCTCATTCCGCTGTGGCTACTCTGGGAAAACCCACTCCCCCTCTGGTCCTGAAGCTTCTTTGCAAGGAGGGGCTGGACTCAGAGCTCAGCAAAGGCCTCCAAGTGGACAGAGAGCTGGGTGTTGCCTTGGCCATCAGCACTGGGTAGTCCCTTCCCCGCCTGGGCCTCCCTTTGGGGGTTCTTCACACTGGATGAAGCTCAGGGAGATGACATGGTGGAAGGGGAGTTTTCATCTGGCCACCCTGGAGGTAGGACAGGGTCTCCTGCCTACCGGGCTTCCGGGGAGGGGGGAGCGGCCCCTCTGAGCCTGGGGTGCCCGGACGGCGAGGGGGTTCAGGCTCTGCTTTGCCCGACGTTAGCCTGAGCAGCCTCAGCCTAGACTGTGCTCCCCGGGCCGGGGCTCCTCCCACCGTGCCTGAAGCTCCTGAGCACTGCGCATGGGAAGGAGGCCCCAGAGCCGAGGGCCCTGCGGCTAAGATGCCGGGACTCACCTGGTGGTGTCCTCCACTCCAGCAAATGAGCTCCAAGGAACTCAAACAGGGGTCCCCGGGGTCCAAACAGAAGCAGTCTCTGGGTCCCTAGGTCAGCAGGGGCCTTCTGGGAGGCAGGGCCAAGCTGCTCACTTCCTCCGGGGCCTGCGGCTTCTGCGGGGCCTGCTCGGCTGCAGGAAGCTCCTCCACCCTCGGTTCAGAGCCTAACACTTTGAAAGCAATGCTGCCACAGCCTTCCGGAAACCTCTGCCCGGGGCCCCGGCCACCACCTCACAGCCCCCTCAGAGACCTCACAGGCAACTCAAATTTAATATTGTTCTTTCCCTCTCCCTTCCCCACTATATCAACCAAGCGAGTTTCCCCCGTCTTCCCACCCCCAAATGGCAGTGCCAGCCCTCCAGTCACTGGGAGCAGAGGCTGGGAGTCAGCTCCCCCAGAGACCCCCACATTCCCACCATCAGTGGACAGCCATCTGCTTCTACACCCCCACCCCAACCAGGCGCCCCTTCCTCCCAGGATGGCACAGGAACCTCCTAGCTGGACCCCCACTGCAGCTTCTTTCACACCCCTACTTCCATCCCTGAGCTGTTTACAACCAGAGGACCCACTTCACGTCCCAACTCACTCAAAACCCACCAGTGGCATCCAATAGCTCTTAAAATAAAATCCAGTCTGCACGCCCAGCCGTGAGTCCTGATGTGACCTGCCAGCTACATCTCCATCCTCGTCTCCTAACCTCTCCTGCCCTCATGCCCTCCCAGCCAAGTTGACCAGCTTTCTGTTCCCTGTAAGTATCTGTTTCAGGGTCTTCCCACTTACCGTTCCCTCTGCCTAGAAGCCCTGTCTCAGCTTTTAAAATGCCTATGTCCTCACCCTTATCATCAGTGTAAATGCCTCCTCCTTCAGGAAGCCTTCCCTAACTGTCTTTATCTAAAGTAGGTCCTTGCTCTGATTCCTTGCCACAGCCCCTGGAGGATCCCTTTGTTTCAGTGTCCAGAATAATCCCTGGCAAAAGGTGGGCTCCAGGAATAAATACTGAGGGCTGCGGCTGTCTAGCCGGTGAGGAAGATTTTCAGAGGAGAAGTGGGCCTTGACAGATGAATAAGAGTTTGCCAGTTAAAGAAGATGGGTGAGGATGGTCCAGGTGGAGGGAACGACCTAGGCAAAGGTCTAGCGGACTTCAAGAAGGAGAGACCCCAGGACAGCAGGGTAGCCAGGGGACACCGCAGACCCAGGCTGGTCTCCCCAGCTTGAGTCTGCATGAGCCAGGCTGAAACTGAGGTTGCATAGCAACAGGTGACAGCTCCCAGTGACCGGGAAGCCGGCCGCCCTTTCTCTGCTCACAGACCAGGCAGGAAGGCGCCAGAACAGGTGGGAAGCAGGAACAAAGGGCGTGTGGGAGCTGGAAAGTGGGGTTGCTTGTGAGAAGTTATACACATGACAAACTGTTATAAAATGACAAAAGGCTCTAAAGATGAGCGTTATTCCTGCTAGTATTTGTTGAGTAACTGACAGTGAAGCGAACATAAATTTAAGGGCTTTAATTTTTACTGGAACCCAGCCCCTGAGGCAGGTACTGTATCATCCCCACGTCACAGAGGCAGACACGGAGGCAGATGATTTAGTTTCTGCCATTCCTAAGCACCCCCCACCCCGGCCCAGTGCAAGACTGGGATTTGTGAAGTGGGGAGAGATGCAGCCGTGCCCCTACATCCACTTCGCTGGGGCACATGTGGCAGGCAGGGCATGGCTCTAGGTCCCATGCTTCCTGAGCCTGGGATCACATCCGAGTAGGTGCGTCACCCAGGGTCCCTGCAGCAGAGAGGGGGACACTCAGCTCTGGAAGCTGAGGAGTGTTTAGTAAGGGCCAGTGGGGTGGCAGGTGTGGAGTTGGAGCCCAGAAGAGGTGCTGATGCACCTCAAGCCAGCAGTCAGCCAGAGCCGATGCACGTCCAGAGCCTCATGGGGCAGAGGAAAGAGTGGCCACCGGGGCCCAGGAGAGAATTCCGGAAGCTCAAGTGAGGGCCGCTGGCTGGGGGCTGCGGTGGAGGGACCCAGCCAGCCCACAGCAGCCCAGCAGAGGGGCAGAGCCCAAGGAATGAACCCCTCACCTCGCTCTCCGCCGCAACCCTCCGCTCCGCCAGGGCCTCCTGCTGGCCAAAGCCAAAGGGAAGAGAGCTCAGTGATGTGGAGGTCAGGATGGAGAACAGCAGGGACTGGACCTCAGGACGCAAATGGAAAATACCTAGCCCCAAATGTCTGCTTCTAGAGCCAGCAGTCCTCAGTAGCTTCCTGGTCGCAGGCAGAGGCAGCCAGTCCTGCAGAACTATTCCAAGAGTTGTTCCTGGAGGATGTCTCCAGCTCCTCCAGCCTTCCTAGGGCTTTGTGATCACCTAATTTCTAATTTAAAAAGAATCTAATTCTATTAGATTCTAGTTATTTCAACTCAATTAATATAGGATTTGTTGCCAGTCATCATTGCAGGCAACATCTCAAGGATAGCACTCCGGGCTGGGTTGGTTTAAAGGCAGTAAGGATCTAGCAAATGGAATTCTAGATCATGGCACATGGTGACAAAAGGCAAAACAATGACCTGTAACTGCCCAGAACTAAGTACCTGTTAAATCCCCACTTCTGCAGACTGAGTTGTGGCTTCCATCCACAATACGGTAAGCATGGTTTATTCAAGGACTGTGGGGTGAGTCTGCTCTTATCATCACATCAAAGGATTTTAAGGAAGAAAAGAACAATCTCTGGGCTTTGTTTTTAGAGTACCAGGGAGTTCCTATGATAGCCTTAAAGAATCCTTCTCTCTTGGGGCTGCAGGTCTGGTGTCACTGAAAGTCAGATGCAGAATCTAATCCTGGGTGGTGCAGATTTACAACATAGACTAAATCTACAGCCCCCCAAATGTCCTATGTGGAAGGCAGGGCATCATTGGGGAAGGGACTCAGAGTGGAACAGCGACCTGCAGACGAGCCCAAGCACCCAAGCTCTGGCAGCAGGGCAGCCCTGCCACCCAGGTCTGGCAGAAGCTGTGCTTCCTGCCAGGAAACTCCACAAGGTTCTCGCTTGCCAGGGCACCCCAGTTCTTCCCATTCACCCCTCCTGGCCCCCCCAGTTTCTAACTACAATTCAATTCCAGTCTGTCCCAGGAGGACCAGCCTAAAGTCAAACCTGGAAGGAGGCTTGTAACTTTTTAAAAAATTGCGAGCATTTGCTAATTTATGTTAGTAAGAAAGTGGAAATGTGGGGAAGGGTTGTCAGGGTGTTAGGCCAGGGAAGAAGAACCACACTTTCAGATGGTGCTGCGCTCACCAATGAAAATGCACTTGATAGAAAGTCTGAATGCAGGGGCTTGAGCAGGAAGCATTAGGAGGGCTTCCAAACTCCTGGCGAGGTTGTCTACTGGAAACAGACATGGCACTGGCCACTCTGAGTGAAGCGGGATGGCCGTGATACCTTGGTGTATGTAGTGGACTTGTCATATGTGACCCTCTACCCTCAGAAGACCCAGAGGACCCTGGGGTACATGGAGAGTACTGCAGGGGCTGTCCCGGGTAGCCCAGGAAGGACCTTGGCAGATGCTGCCATTGAAACGGGCTTCCCAATTTCAGTGAAACTGGGGTCATTTCAAGATGGCAGAGGTAAAGGACAGCCCTTATTCATCTTAGGCAAGCTGGGTGTATCGGTTAGCTTTTGCTGCATAACAAACCACTCCAAAACTTAGTAGCTTCAAACAGCATCCATTGTATTCAGTGTATGATTCTGAGTCGGCTGGGGAGTTCTTCTGGTCTGTGGCAGCTGGGGGATCTCCACCGGGCTCTCTGCTGCAGCTGCGGTCGGCTTGTGATTAGTTGTGGAGAATGGCCTCACTCACATGTCGGGCAGTGGGCAGGCTGGCTGCGCGGCCTCCATCCCCCAGCACTCACTCAGGCTCACTTACACGGTGTACCCAGCACAAGAAGTGGGGGCAAGCCTCCTCGCACTTACAAAATCTCTGCCGTGTCACAATATAGGATAGATAGGAAACGACGGAACCTGTCTGGCACTCTGGATGAAGAGACAAAGTCGCTGTGGCCAGACATGACCAGTCTGGGAGCTCTGACCATCCCGAGGGACAAGGGGGGCAGGTTGGTACCTACAGCCCACTTGCAGCACCCCCATGGGAGGCGCCGGCTTAGTGTGCCTGCTTTTCTTGTTCACTGGGTCCTGTTACTGCACTGACGCAGAGGACGAGCAGGGGGCCCTGTCCTAGGTGCCATGTAGGGGCACACATGCAAATTCAAGGGCCAGCTACCTAGCGAACTTTCTGGGGATCGACTTATCTGGGAACACAGGGACAACCCCTCCCAGATGGGATTTAGGTTGGGGCACCTCGCATCTCCTACCACTGAGACACAAGAGCAGTGCTTGAGGGCAGAAGCTCTACGGATGTGAAAGGCAACACATCTGTCTCTTGGGTTTGCTCCAACCATTCACGGAGTCACCTGCAAGCCTGCCAGCTGCGTGTGGGGTCCAGAGAGGAGTTTTGTAGCTGATCCTGGAAACAATGTCTCAACTTAGCCTCTTGACCCTGCTGAGTCAGCAGTCCCAATAGGGGGTTCAAAGTGGGTGAGGTAGACCAGGGTGCTAGAAGGTGAGCAAGGACAGGAGGGTCACAGGTCAGGCCCTGGAGCTTTGGGACAAAGCTCTGTCTTCTTCCCTTACAAATGTCTCAGTCCATTCAGGCTGCAGTAACAAAGCACCACAGACTGCGTGATTATGAACAACAGACATTTACTTCTCACAGTTCTGGAGTTTGGAAGACCAAGATCAAGGTGCTGATGGATTTGGGTCTGGTGAGGATCCACTTCCTGGTTCATAGTCAGCCGTCTTCTCACTGTCCTCACATGGCAGGAGTGGGGAGCTCTCTGGGGCCTCTTTTATAAGGGCACTAATCCCATTCCTGAGGGCCTCGCCCTCATGACCAAATCACTTCCCAAAGGCCCCACCTCCAAATACCCTCATGCTGAGGATTTGGTTTCAACATATGAATTTTGGGGAGACAAAAACATTCAGTCAATGGCAAATACTCACTCTCCTTTTGAGATCGCTTCCCAATTTGCTGTTGGGCCCTAGTACAGTCTAAATCCATCTGTGGTGTTTCAAGTGACTATGGACCCTGATATTCCTTCAGACATGAGTGTCCTTTGTACCACTAATTTATAAAACTGTGTGTGCCATGGTCCTCCACTGTCAAAGGAAGTGACATTCTGGGGTCACACTGAAGCAGACCCAAATGGCACAGGTCAACTGCGTGAGCAGGTGGCTGCTTCTGCCCCCTCTTCCTCAATCCCTACCTATGGTCTCACAAGGAATCACCTATGTCCATTGACTAATGGTGCCCATTGACCTGGTTCCCAGGTGGCTCTCCAGCTCTGCTGGCAGGAACTAGAAGTGGGTGCTGCAGGGCTGCAGTTTTACCCAAGGTCAGTCCCGAGGGTGAGGGAAAGTCCCTCGGGCTGTACCAGTTAAGAAGTCTCACTTCCCATGAGAGGTATGCCTCCTCCAGAGAACACACAATGGCCACTTGGCCACAGGGGCATCCTCATGCCATCGGGTGAAGGGAAACAAGGAAGAAGAAGGTGCCCATGTGGGCTGGGGCTGTTGAGCCTGATTATGAAGGGGAAGAGAGGCTTCTGTGACACAGAGGGGCACGGAGGGCATCTGGAACCTAGGCGAGTCCTCAGGGCACCTCCTAGAACCATCACAGCATGTGGTAAAACCTGATGGAAGACCACAGCCACCCAGAGTGACAGGACGAGCAAAGACTCAGAACCTCAGAAAGGAAGGGTCCCCTTTCCTTGGGACCCCCACAAGGTAACGAACACAATGGATTTTTTACATCTAAAGTTTATATAGGAAACTATATAATTATATTACATAACTGTATTATATGTATACATTACTATTAATTATATTTGCATAACTCTAAAAAGTATGTAAATTTTATTTACATCCCCAAATCTCAATGCAAGTTTGTTTTTTAAACATTTTACTACATACGTCTCTCTCACTCTTTCTGAACCATTTAAAAATAAACTGCAGGAACTGTGTCACTTCATCTCTAAATAAATCTGAATGTTATCTGCTGAAAACAAGAGCATTCTACATAAGCCAGAACCATTATGAAATCCAGGAAAATTAACATTAGTAGAATGTTTTCTAATTATTTCATCCATATTCAAATTTTCCCAATTATGATGATGTTTATAGCTTTTAATTTTTTCACTCCAATCAAGATCTTATGTTCCACTTGATTGTATTTGGCTGTCATGTCTGTTTAGAGTCTTTTAAGCTGGGACAGTCTTCTGTGACACTAACATTACTAAAGACCCCAGGGCGGTTGTCTTGCAGAATACTGACTCAATCATCTCTGTCGTTTCTAGGTCTGTTTCTGTTGACTGATTTTTCTCCTGACTGTGGGCCACATTCTTCTGCCTCGTATGTCTAGTAATTTTTTAGTGAGTGCTAGATATTTGAGATTTTACGTTGTTGGGTGAATTCTGTTGCATTCCTTTAAAGAGTGTGGATTAGAGATTCCTTCTCTGGCAGGCAGTTAAGTGTGGATTACTCTGATCCCTTTAAAATTTGTTTTTAACCTTGACTGCCTCACAATCTGCTCTGTCTCCTCAGTTCAGTGAGACCACCAGGCTCTATCTGGGTTCCCACTGCTGCACACCAGTCCAGGAATTATGTCCAAGCAGGAAGCATAGGCTGTGGTAGGCTTACCTTATTTTTCCCCCCTTTTCTTAAGGATCACAGACCTGCCTTGCCTCTTATTTAATGTCTGAAACAGTTGTTTCCTCTATTTTGCCCCATTTTAAGTTATTTCTGGTGGAAGGGTAACTCCAAACATAGAAATCCTTTCCCTGTGAGATACTTTCAGTGGGCCAGCGTGATAAGCATCATCTTAGCTAAATAATCAAGATGAACACTCCAGGAAATGGGACAAATTGATGTGATACATCTCCTAAGATGTGCTGAGAACACATAGCTTCTGCCAAAAATGCACAAGCTGAATCTAACCATGAGGAAAATATCAGACATACCAAGCTGAGAAACATTCTATTACATGGTTGTTTTCTTCAGCATCAGTGTCGTGAGGCAAAAAAGACTGAAGAACTATTCCAGATTCAAGGGGACGGGGGACACAGGACAGGATTAGAATGCATTTGTCTTGGTAAAACGACATTTTTGGGACAACTGGAAAAACATATTAAAGTCAGTAGATTAGATGTTATTGTATCAATCTCATTTCCTGTCGTGAGATTATGTGAGAAAACGTTTTTGTTTTTAGGAAACACACACTTAAGTATTTAGAGATAAAAGGACATTATGTAATGCAACTTACTCTCAAAGGTTCAGGAGAGACAGGTGATCGATGACAGATTAGATAGATAATTTCCATACACAGAGAGATTATCTCTCTATATAGAGGTTTGTCCAATAGGTCTATTTATATCTATTTATACAGAGGTGGTAGAAAGGTAAAGCAAATATAGTAAAATGTCAACATTTATGGGGATCTGGGTAAATATAGGAACTATTTGTACCATTCTTGCAACTTTTCTCTAAGTCTTGAAATTATATAAAATGTTAAAAGAAAAAAGAGGTCCTCACTTCCATCCTTGCTTAGTATCACTGTGAATGCATGGATTGTTTTTAATTCAACATGTTATATTCCACTGTTTCTGATGCTCAAATTGTCCCAACTACAGATGCCCTTTAAGCCATCACCTGTGTCCTCCTGACATGTTCCCCGTCATTTCTGCATCATTCGTCCTGGCTTTCTGGCACAATGTTGCAGGTTCACCTTGTCAAAATGCTTAAATAATTGATGTGGGGGAAAATCTAGAGCTTCGTTCCAAACATGTCGTCTGGTAGAACATCTGAATCCTACATAGGTGTTACAGAAAGCATGCCTAATGTTGACTTAAATGGGATGCTGTGACTTAAATGTTTTACTTTATGTGACCCTGTCGTGGCTGCTCATAGCCATTGGTGGGATGACCCACCAGACCCTCCTAAATGCAAGGGGCCAAGACAACGTGAGTCAGGGCCTCAGCACTGATGCCTCTGCCTCCCAAGTGCTCCCACCTGCCCCTATTTCTCTAGTACCCCACTGTCTGTTTCCTTCCAGACCTTTCCTGTCTGCAGCTATCCTGTCTACCTTACCATCTTATTTGTCTGTCCACCACTCTCCAGTTCCCTGGGGCCATGGCTATATCTACCCCAGCACCTGGCTTGGCACACAGTAGGCCCTCAATAAACACTGACTGACTGAGTCTGCAAGGCCCTACTGTGTTGGGTTCACAGAGTCTCCACCTGCTGATCCCAGCGCAGTCTGACCCTGGAGCTAGTGAGGATGCTAACGATCTATTGCATCAAATTATACCCCAAAGAGTGTTTCCACTTAGATTGAAACCAAACTAACTCTGAACCTCCCAACAAGACACAATGTCCTTGCAGAAGGAGTAGCGAGTTCCTGTCCCTGCAGTGTCAGTGACCCTCAGTCAGTGCTGAGCAGGCTCCTGCCGGGAAAGGCTCAACCAAGATGACCTCAGAAGGTCCCTTCCTTCCCTAAATTCTGATTCTACAAATTCTGAGTGCAAGTGGCCATGTAGTGTCACAGTTCCCCAAAGATTGGTCACGAGGAAGGGACCCTGACCAAAGCAGAGGTGCCCCACCCCAGGGAGGGAACGGCAGGACTGCCTCCCACTCCACACCTGCCTGAAGCCCTGGCTGCCCCCTTCCTGCTCCACAAGGTCCTCGCTGTCCCTCCTGACAGCCTTAGCCTCTCCCAGGCCTCACCCTGGGCCCCTCCTTCATCACAGTTCACCCCGGGAACCGTCCACAGGCTTGCCCGCCTCTCCAGAGGCTTAGAGACAGCGGCCCTGCTGTGCCAACAGCCACTTGGAAGAGATGCTCCCACCCAGTGAAACCCGAGGTTGAGCGTGGCTGGTTCAAGGACCCGGCCACTCAGCAGCGGGTTCTCCACTGCAGCGCAACACACATTTCGGGCAGTGGAGTCTTTTTTGGGGGTTGGGGAGCCTGCTCTGTGAACTGTGGGCCCAGGACCCCCCCAAATGCCACCAATAGCACCCCGACCCAGTGTGACAACCCAAACCATCTCCAGATGTTGCCAAATATCCCCCGGGGGTGGGGAGTGGGGTGTGTGCAGAAGGGCCCCAGGAGGGGCCAGCTGATTTTTAAGGGAGGATGAATTTGGTGAGCACTCACCCTGGAAAGCGGGTTATTACCTCTCCGGCAGTCACATGGGAACAAAGCTGGATTTGAACCCCAGGGTTTCTCCAAAGCCCAGGTTCTTCCCAGCAACTGTCATTTTTAGTGCTCTTTCTATAGCATCGTTGCCTTGCTCTCCAGGCAGCCGCACTAGTCACGAGGTCAGCATTTTGCAGAGGGAAGCTCCATGCATGTGGCGCACCCCACCTTCCAGGGGAAGGCTTACAGCAGGGCCAGTGGGGCATGAAGTTCTGGCCACCACCGTGGGGCCCTTGCCATAAAGTAAGGGGGAGACCACCTCCCAGTAGCAGCCCTTTTATCCAGCCTGTGCCACTCACCTGCTGACATCCCCTGCTCTGGGGTGGGACCAGAGGACCCTCTGACTCGCTGGCTCTGCTCTGTATAACCACTCATCCACAGCTGCGCCTCTGCCAACCCCCGGCCTCAGCCCATCCACGGCCCCACTCTCCACTGGAAGCTCCCGGTGGGCAGGGCCATGCGGGAACCATGTGGCCTCAGCACCGAGCACGGGGCTGGTGCAGCTCACGGCCACTAAACGCATGCAGGAAAAGACAGCAGCCAGCCTGAGGCAGTGGACAGCGCCCGTGCCCACAAATTCTTTATTGGAATAAATAACAGTACACAGAGTTTTCCTAGTTTGGGTGTCTGGCTTAGGTGACGTTTGGTTGGTAGCACAGTGAGCTGGCCCAGAGCACACAGAGAAAGGATCAGCTTCCCACTGTCAGCTGGGCGGGCAAGGTCAACACCATGGCCAGGTTTTAGTGGCTTTTATTTAATATCCAGAAATCCAAAGTAAACATTGCTTAAAATGATTAAAAAGACAATAAAATACTGGCACACCAAGAGGGTGCAGAAGATTCAGTTGCTTTAAAAGGACGCGGCTCTTTGTCACATCCAGGTAGGATGTCTGTGTGTGGGGTTCTGGGCTCAGGGCTGGTCTAACCCCTGTGGTTGGAACACCCCACCGAGGCCTTGTGGACCCCGAGACGCCCATGTGCCCAGCTGCAAACGATGTCGCTTTCATTTAGTTCCCGCTGATGAGGGTCCCTCTCCGAGACAAACAATTCCCTGAGGATGTGGGTTGAGTGAAGAAGAAGGGTTCCAGAATTTTCTGGAATTAAGTTGTTTCTGCTGTTCAAGTTACCCTAACAAGATGCCCCAGCCTCCCAGGAATTCTGATTCTAGCTGGACCGTGAACGGGGAGTCATGGGCTGCGTGCGAGCAAGGCGGCCCCACACAGGGGCGCGGGAGGCACACCTACACCTCTGAACCAACTTGGTGAAAAGTAAATGGAGAGGAGATTGCAGCCTTGCCGGAAACTCAGCCTTGAGTGGTCAGCACTGCGAGGCCACTATTACCTCCCTGTTAGAAACAGAAGGCTTGAAGTGGGCTCGCTGCCCGGGAATCCGAGCCCCCACCCCACCTCCCAGAGCCCCCGTCCTCCGCCCACGGCAGGGACCACGGGCAGGAGCTGACCCCTGGGCTGAGAACCCCGCGGCTGTGTTATTTCCAAAGCCCCATCTCGCCTCTTTCATTCCCCTCCTCAGTCCCTAGAGATCAGTGACACCCTCGCCGAGCCCACCTGTGAACAAGGCAGGTGGATTGGCCGCCACGGCTCCAGATGGCTGTGATTCTATGCGTGTAATGAAGGCGGCACAGAACGTCCCAGCCTCGGCTATTTCTTCAATGCGGTTCTTTAATGTCACTGCATCCCGCAGGAGACACTGTAATACTGTTTTAATTATTTCTTTCCCCTGCTGGGAAACCACCTCCATCAAGACAGCTATTCTGAACCCAACCCCAGCCTGGCAGCAGCCGGAGCCGAGACAGAATATTAAACTGTTTTCTAAATCTTGAGCATTGGCATTCAATTTAATATTAACAACTGACTCAACAGCTCTGATCTATAGCAGGAAGGCGAAAGTCAAAGGCATTAGGAAGGCCCACCTTGCCACAGCAGCAGGCAGGGAACGTCAATAAGGAGGCGGGTTTGCAGGGGGCTCCAGGCAGGGGTGGGGGGTTGGTGCATCACAGACCCCACTCGGGAGTTAGAGAAAGGGGTGTAGGGGGTGACCCAGCAGACGGATGCCTCATGGTGAGCAAAGGATGACAGGCACACAATGAGTGCTCCCCATTTCCTTTTCCGGGCCTCCCAGTGGGAGCTGCTGACAGGGCTCCAGAAAGCACCACCCCCAGCAGGGAGATGGACACTTCATGTTTCCTGTCATGGGTTGACCGTGTCATCCCCAGAATCCACGTGCTGAAGTTCTAACCCTGCACACCTCAGAATGTCACTGCATTTGGAGATGGGGTCTTCATAGAAGTAATGAAGTTAAAACAAGGTCACTGGAGTGGGCCTTTAGTGCAATATGACTGGTGTCCTTATAAGAAGAGGAGATGGGGACATGGACTCCCCCAGAGCGCTGGGCGCAGGGGGGAGGCGTGTCTGCAAGCCCGGGAGAGGGGCTCAGAAGGACCCGCCAATACCTCCACCTTGGCCCTCCAGCCCCCAGGACTGGGAGAACATGAATTTCTGTTGTCCAGATCCCCCAGCCTGCAGTCCAGGCAAACTGACATTCTCTGCTCTTTGAAAGGTTTTAAAAATCCATTCATCCTCAAACAGGGCCTCTGGGATGGCAACTTGGGGCCGAGTGGTCTAAGGCTCTTGAGCCAGCCCACTTCGCCACAGCAAGACAGAAGGAGGTGCTTCAGCAAATCCTTCCTGGGCAGCTGGGCCGCCAGGGTCTCTGACGTGCATGCAGAAGCTAGACGTAAACAACACCTAGCGGCCAAGAAGCGGGACCACGGGGTGGGCACTCTTCATCGCATCAAAAGCATCTGGGGCCACAGAGAGAAGTTTGTAAAACTGCAAAATGCTTTTTACCAAAAAGGCTTTGAGGGGTGCCATCCGGGAGGTTCCCCCAGAGCAGGAGAGCTAGGTCACTGCTCTGGCAAAGCTGAGGGTCCTGTGCTGATCACCGGTGACTACTAACTGCTCCATCCACTGGAAGGCACGGTGCCTCCTCCCATGGGCTGAGCGGTTCGTTCAGCATTTTTCTTGTTCATCTTCTGATCAAGCAACCGACTCAGCACTGGGGAGCAAGGCCTCCAACATGGGAACTGCTGTTCAGAGCCCCGCATTTCAAAGCATGCCACCCACTGCGGAAGCACATGGAGGGGAGGGCAAGAGCAACCAGGACAACAGGCGGGTGAGCGGGCGGACGACCGTGGGCCGGGAGGTGGGGGGCTTCCCTGCCGGACGCAGCACGGGCCGTCCCACCACCTCTGCGGCTCCCTGCAGTCACTCCGCATTCTTGTACTTGGTGAACAGGTTGTACAGGACCCTCAGGGTGGATTTGAGGTCCAGGTTCACCACATCTGCAGAAAGAAGTGAGAAACTGTTGGCAGGTGGGAGAGCGCCTGAGCTCCGGAGCCGGCACTGTGGAGACAGGCAGGACCTCGCCACGGCCACAGTAGAGCACTCCGGGTTAAAGACCGTCGGCTACCACATCCAGGGCACTCTGTGCACAGGCTGCCGTGGGTCCCAGGCCACCACCCCTCAGGACGAACCCCTGAGGTGGCCAGGACAAGGACACTCCTTCATCCCTTTTAGGATTTGCATCAAGACAAGTCCTTGAATCATGGTGTGGGGACCACAACAGCCAAGGACATTTACTGGGGGCAAACATCCACAGGCTGACTGTGCCAGGACTGATGACCTGCAGCCAGACAGGCCCCCTGGGACAGGGCACCGTGGGAGCTGCCAGCTACGTGGTGTGGCCCTGGCATGACACTCATGGGCTCCCTCCAGAGCCCAGCAAGTCTGGGCTGCCTTCTTCGGTGGGGATGTGACCTGCCCTCCTGGAGTCAGGCTCCTGGGTCTTCTCCTCCCTTGCCCTGTGACCTCAGGCAAGTGACTTTCCTGCTCTGGGCCTCTGTCTCTTCGTCTGTAAAATGACCATTTGCACTCTGGCTCTGTGGGATTTGAGTGCAGCCACAGAACTGTCACTTTGCTGTTCCCCTGCAGGCAATGAATTACAGAGCAAGAAATGGCGCTAGAGGAAGGGAGCCTGAGTGGTCGCCACCAGTCAGAAACCGTCCTTACCAACAGCCCTGGGGGTTCTCAAACCTCAGCTTGTCAGAGCAAGAGGGAGGCAGAGAGTGGGGGGCAACTCCCTTCCCTGCTCTCCCATTTGCATCCAAGACCACGGGTCCCAGGAGTGCCAGCTCACTCACCAACAGGCGAAATCAGAAGCGGAGCTCAGACCACAGGCATGAAAGGCTCCCAGGGCCTGATGCTTAAGCCCCGGCACAGAGGGATGCCCAGCCCACCCGGGCAGAGGCTGGGACTCCTGGGTCCCAGGATGGAATTTCTGTGCCTGGATGGACCCTAAATGGTGGCTTTGGAGATCCCCCGGGATGTGTGTGTGGAGGGTGATGACGACTCCCCACCCAGAATTGGTGCAGTAGGGTGGTGACTCTCAGCGTGGGGCCCCCAGACCGGAAACACTGGTGGTGCCGGGAAACTTGTTAGAAATGCGAATTGTCAGGCCCATCCCACAGCCCCTGAATCAGAATTCGTGCTTTTAAGAAGCCTTCCTGTGGATTCTGGTGCCCACTCAAGTTAGAGCTCCTGGTACAGAGGATTTAACACAGCAGCCAGGGAGGGAAAGCAAGGCAGCCCCTCGCCCCAGCTCCTCACACCCACACAGGGCATGACCATGCTCACGGGCATGGCTCTGTGCTGGCCGTCGGGGACATCAGCCCGACAGTCACTAAACTGCAGGCCAGGAGACAGCATTTGCAGCCTGAGTACTTGCAGCCGGAGAGGGACTAAATCCTGAGGCCTGTGGGCGGGGGCTACGTCCTCCGAGTCACGTGGTTGCCAGAGACAGGGCACTGGGCTCCACCAGCACAGTCCTCTTGGTCCCCGAAGCCAGGAGCACAGGGGTCGGGACACGGGAGCTCAGATCAGCACAGCCTGGCCTGCCAGCCGCACACCCAGAGGCTAATCAGGAGAGACAATTCCACCTTCCAGGCGCTTCTAAGACCCAGCCTTTCTTCCCTTCCATGTACCCCACTCTCCTGAGGGCGCGCGGGTGCGGCCTTACCTTCGGGCCGAGCCTTGGGTTTCCTGAGCCCTCCGTCCAGCATCAGCTCAAAGGCAAACGACACGTTGTGCACCTGTCAAGGAAGCGAGGGTTGGTGAGGGGCCACAGCTGCTCCCAGGCACGCCCCCGGCCCACTGCGTTCCCTCGGGAAGGATGGAAGAGAGCGCGTGCAGCCAGAGGAGCTTCGGAATAGTACACCCAGCAGGACCCGGGAGCCTGGAGCAGGGCGGGCAGAGGGAGGGTGGGGACAACTGCTACGGGCAACACGCGTTTACTAGGCAGTCCTTACTCCCCTCGCCCAAGATCAGGACAGCCCTCAAGGGCTCGGGGATCCCCAGATGCCTGCTCTGCCCAGGCCCTGGCACAGCCACACGATCAGAAGTGACAGTGACCCCATTTTACAGATAAGGAAACTGAGGCTCAAGAAGCACAAGTCACTTCCCAAAGGCAACCAGCTCCACACACTGTCCCCAGCACAGAGCAACCACCTGCCATCTTCTGGAGGGGCCTCGATATGCTGTGCACAGCTGTGCACAGCTGTGGCAGGACACAGAACTCTGGGGGCAGTGGTGGCCCTGGCCCTGGGCAGGCACCAAGGGCCCTGCTGACATGGAGTCAGACTGATGGTGGCTGTGAGCCAGGCAGCAGGGCCCTGGTTGTGGCCCTTGACCTGTGAGATGCCACAGACAGGTGACACACCTCAGCCTCATGTGGCTTCTCCCTGAAGTGACAGGGTCTGGTACCACTCAACCTGCAAGGGTGCTTGAAGCTATATTCTGCTAATGACTGCTGAGGTTTAATATCAAGCCTTCTCTGATGCATTTAAAGTCCACCTGAATCCAGAGACACAGGGTGAGCAGCCAGATCACAGCCAAGCCACCTGCTGTTAGCAAAGGCTCGGGGGCGGGGCGACCAGCAAATAAAAGTGAAATGTACGACAGATGTCAGAGCTAGACAGGACTCTAAGGTTCCTAGTAATCTATAACTATTTAAACAGTAATATTCTCGTGACTTCAGTGTAAATCAGAAACAAAGTAACAATTGTACTTGCAAGACAGGTTAATGATTAACCAGGAAAAAGCTGTTTGCTAACATAACCCTCAGTTGGTCAAGCCCACAATAGCTCAGGGGACCACAAAGAGGCTTCCAGGGCCGTGGGCAGTGCTGGGTGGCACTCAGAGAAGCACAGTGGGGGGAACAGCCCAGTGTGGGGACAGGCCACCCTCCGTCAGACTGGGCAAGGCTGCACACGGAGGCCCTGCCCTCAGGGGCTCCTGGGCCACCCCCGAGGCCGACTCAGAACAGGGGGGCAGGAAGAAGCCCTGGCCACAGTGCCCGGAGCCGACCTGGGGAGGCTATCCCCCGCCTTACGGAGGAGGCCCCAGGGCCAAGAGGGGTTAGGACGTCTGTCCCAGAAATGGAGCCAGGACTCGTCCTCTCCAGTCCCAACTCAGACCTATGTCCTTTCTCCAAAAGCTCCAGCCCCTCTCCCCGGTTCACACACGCACAGCAGCCTTCCAATCAGGATGGAGACAGGACAGCAGAGAGAGCAGCAGCAGGAGGTCTCTGGTTTGTACCCACAGTTGAAACTCCACCAGCCACTGTGGGCACATCCCGGCAGAGCCTTTTCCACCAGGCTGTCCAGGCCTGAAGGTTTCTCTCCAAGGGGAGGCAGGCTGAGGGCAGCAGGAATGGCCATGCTGGGCATACAGCAGGACTGGACCCAAGACAAGGAGGAGAGACAAGCCCCTCGGAACTGCTCTGCACTGAGCGTGGCCAGGCTCACGGAACCCACTGCTGCCCCACGGAGAGAAACCTCCGCAAACAAATCTCCTTGCAAGACCCCCTGCTCCGCAGCCGCTCAGCCCCACCATGCTTGTTTGGGAGCAAGATCTTCCTTCTGCTTTCTTCTCAGGCTGAGGACCGTGCCAGACAGGAACCATCCCTTGTTGTCATCCCTCAGGGTCACGCCTTCGCCCCCCAACAACCTTTCATGCTGGCCGAGAAGTTCCCCTGTGCCTGGCGGGCCCTCAGGACAGAGCGGACAGAACTGCAAGCAGCCCCCAGCTCCCAGGCCAGGGCAGTGACCGACACACACCTTCAACCACCGTTCAAAGGGAAGAGGGTGGGCCAGGGGGACAGTGCTTCTGACGTTTACCCACAGCTTCGTCTCAGGAAGAAACCCAGGTCCAGCCACCTGGCTCAATGCACCTTCCTTGCCAGAATTATCATTAAACTGAACAAAGAGCATCTCTCTCCAAACAATGCTTCTGCAACCAGCCACATGGAGCCTGGAAATGCATGAACTATGTCACCAAACTGTGTTCCTGCTGCCAGAACAACAGCACAGCCACCTGTGTTTCCTGATCATGTTCCGCGGTGTCACTCACCCCCTCTGCTCCTTCCTGCTCGCACTCACTCCGTTCACCATGGACGCTAAGGTGCCAGGACCTCTCTAATCTGCTCTAATGCCACCTCAGCAGGCAAAGCGGGAGGGACATCTGGCCACAAGCAAATGGCCTGCAAGGTGCCAGGAGCGGGCAGCTTGATAAACGCCGGCCCCATTTCTGGGTGTTTCTCTGGCTGCTGCCACCCGCTGCACTTGTCTGCCTCTCTGACTCATGGGTTTGGCACTTTGGGAAAACAGAATGACAGGTTCCTGTGACTCCAAAGCCACACAGACAGTCCACAAGCCAAGTCTCCAACAGCGACGTGCTCACCGCCGCTGTGACGGGCTGGACTTGGGGAGCCCCGGGCGGGAGGCAAAGAGCCTGTCACAAAGGACAGTGACACAGGGAACCAGCAAGCCAAATTTAAATGCTGGTCCCTCTGACCCAAACAATCCTAATCGGGGAATTCTCCTGGAAAACAATCCATAGGAATGAAAATACATATACATTTACTAAGGGTTACATTGAATTGCAGTATCAACTGTTGGGTGGTCTTTATTTCTTAAGGAATGCAACTAGACTCCAGAAAGCACTGCCAGGGGATAGTGCAGGCTGTGCATGACAGTGAGCGCGTCTCTGAGGATGGAGACCAGGCACATACCCTCTGATCAAAGCTGTCCGGGGTCAGGTAGAAGTTGTGCAGGGGGACAAAGTAGTCTTCCAGAAGGCCCATGAGCAGAACCAGGTACACGCCATCTGCAAACTACAGAGAAAAACTTGGTGAGGCTTCTGTGCTGTGTGTGGAGTTGGTAAATGCTCTGCATGTACTCAAAAGGAGGAGAATTTTTAAAGTGAAAATACATCCCACATGCAAGTGAGAGAACCTGCAATCTGGTGAAGCACATGGGTGCAAAGGGCCACACTCAGGACAGCACGTGATGTGTGTTTAGATGGTGCACAGCCACGCAGACAAGACCACGGCTCTGGAGCCAGACAACTGGGCCACAAGGCCTGCCCTCCCACTACTGACCACGGGGAAATACGGGCTCCCATATTTCAGGGTTGGCGTGAGGACCAAGCGGGAGGGCGGGCAGGAGCGCCCACACACAGTGAGTACTCCATCAGCGTCCACGGCTGGCATGGGTAAGCCACAGCATGCAGGGCCCCCTGTGCTTTGGTCTGGGTTTACTGCCCTGTTCTGCCAGCTCACTTTGTCAGCTGCCTGAGCACCTTCTAGCTGTGCTCGTGGCACGGAACATCATGACAGCCTGAGCCTTTGTGTCCACACAGCAGGGCTCTGCAGAGCAGGGCTGGCCCTGGGGCAGGAAAGTCCTGGAGGCTGTACCCCTCAATTGAGATCCCCAGCCCCTCTCTCTGCCAGCTGGCCTGGCACCACTTCCTACCCACCGGCGGGGAGCAGGGATTTAGACAAAGCAGCGCTCTTCAGAAGACAGACCCTCCATCCCCAATAAGCCCAGGACAGGGAGCAGTCGCTGCATTTACAGATAAAGCAGTAGCGATGGATGAAGACAGGACAGCCTGCAGGGGGCGAGAGCCAAGGGGCAGGAGGTACGGCCTCCCCTCGCCTCACAGACACTGCTGGGACCTGGGGAGGGCAGGCCTCACTCATCCTCTCAGGGGACCGAGACTGCGTCCCTGTGGGGAGGAGGCCCCAAGGACCGCAGCTCCATATGTCTGGAACCAGTGTGCTGTCCAGTACGGTAGCCACTGGCCACAGGCACCTACTGCAATTTAAAATGTTTCTGCTTGAATGTTGCTAACTAGTTCATTTTTATTGCAGTAAAATATATGAAACATGACATTTACCATTTTAACCATTTTTAAGTGTATACAGCTCAGTGGACTCCAGTCCATCGCGTTGCTGTGCAGCTGTCAACACTGTCCATCTCCGGAACTCTCTGCATCGTACAAACCACAACTCCGTGCCCGGTAAACACTCGCTCCCATCCCTGACCCAGCCCCTGGCCACCACTCTTCCATTTTCTAGCTCTACAAATTTGAGGGCTCTAGGGACCTCGAGAAAGTGAAACCATACAGTATTTGTTCCTTTGTGCCTGGCTTATACTGACTTTAAAAAAAAAATTTAATTGTGATAACATATACACAACATAAAATTTAGCATATTAACCATTTTAAGTGTACAGTGCAGCCCTATTAAGCACACTCACACTGTTGAACAGCCCATCTCCAGAACTCTTAAAAGATTTTTAAAATAAAAAAACAAAAGTCAATTCCTCCATCACACTAGCCACATTTTGAGTGCTCGGCAGCCATGTGGCCAGCGGCCATGGCATCAGACTGTGCAGTGGAGAGCACCTCCCTCAATAAAGAAAGGTCAGTGTGGTCTGAAGACCGTCACCCCTGGGCACCTGGGAGGGGCTGGGTGCCTGGCGGGCCTGCAGCTTCCTGAGACTAGCAAGTGGGCTTGCCGCTGCCTGCTCGTCCCTCCCGTCCTGGGATGTGGGCTCTGCCTGCCCTCCAGGTGCCCAGAGGCCGCCCCAAGGACGCGGCCCCGAGAGTGGTGTGCTGAGAGCGTCCGGACAGCACCCAGGACTGCACCCAGGTCAGGCCTCTACTTGACGACTGGGCGGGTGGGGTGGAGGTCCCCTCATCTTGCAGCCACTCATGACGAGCCTCATCTGTGAGCTCCCTTGCCTGTTCAACCCACCACCTACCCATCTGAATGGCCCACCTCTTTTTCCCATCTCTCCCGGCCCTCTGCTGTGGGGCCAGCTGCAGACCACACCCGGGAAACTCGAGGAGTTCATGGACCAGCAGGTTCTTCCTGGGGCCTCCCAGGCCTCGGTCAGATGCAGTCTGATTGGTAAGTGACCCTTTGCCTGCGTGTCAGGAGTCTCATGCTCCCCCGCAGAGAAGAAATCGCTTACTCAACTCCTTACAGCGATCAAAGGCTTTTTAAAACTTATATGCCTCCGAGTGTGGCAGTTTTCTCCAATGGAGCACCATGGCAGCACCCCCAACCCCCCAACACCAACGACACTGAGCTACACACAGAGAAACCAGCTCTCTCAACAACACTGATCCACTTACAGACACAGCCTTTCTCGCCTGCCGGGAGGTATAGGGGGCTGAGACGGGCAGTCTGCTTACTGCCACGGCACCCTCTAACCCACCCCTGGCCCCCAGATCACAGGAAGGTGGGAGAGACAGAAACCAAGGGAGGAGGTGCCCAGGAGGGTGAGGCCAGGCAGAGAGTGGTGGCTTGGCAGCAAATCAGTGGTGGGGGGCTGGGACCCCCTGGGACTCCCCCCCACCAGTCTTCACATCCACAAGAGTGGGGCTCCTGACCTGGGGGTATGCCCTAGCTCAGAAGTCCCCAGGGAGACCCAGGGCACCATCATTGCCATCCCCACCATCAGTCCTGACCTTGTAAATGCACCCTCTCCATTAAGCCCCACCATATCTACTGCCTCCACTTTGAACTTACAGACAGAACCTCAGAGAGGTGGGCATGTAACTGGCTCAGCGTCACAGCTAGGGAGCTGCCCCACATATAAAAGTGGTTTTAAAAAGAAGGGGAAACACACACACCCTGAGCAGGAATTTGAATCCAGGTCTCCCTGACTCCCAGGGCATCTGGACTTCAGCAATGAACATATTTAAAAAATACCCAGATTCCTCTGCAACAAAAGAAAAAAGTTCTCTGCATTGTGTGGTCAGTGATTTATTTATTCTGGTGGCCCAGTGGTTAAAAATATTTTTAAGATATTACTGTATATAGTATGGTAATAGAAAAAAAGTGGAGCTATTGAATAAATAAAGATCAATGCAAGTTTAAGTCTAGAGTCTCAACCCTAAGATTCCGGCTATTAATACTAGAGTGTGAGCCCATCCGGGAGGCGACCGTTGGGAACTGCTGGAGAGATGTGGGGAGAAAAGAGCTCTCCACACTGCCCATGAGAGTCCCGGGTGTTCAGAGCTTCCCAGTGCCTCAAAGCGTTACAACCTTTGCTCTAAGGGTTCCATTCCTAGGAGTTTACCCTGAGCAAGCCAACCAGGGCGTAAAGAGCTGTGCACAAAGATGCTCACTGTCCTGCCTATTTACAGGAGAGGGAAATGTCCCATTCTAAGGGACCGGTTAATGAGATGCAGCGCAGCCTTTGAATGGACCAGAGGCAGCTATTCAATGTGACAAATAGAGATAGATAGACCTGGCAGCCAAAAAAGGGTTACACAGAAGCACACACACACACTCACACAGAAAGATGCCCACGGTACACTTAGTAACAAAAAAGGCACATCACACAAAACAGCTGTATAATACGATCCATTGTCATTAAAAAAATACATTTACATATATAAAGCATCTAGCAAAATATACATCCAGCTATTATCTGTGGTTAGTTACCTCAGGGGGGGTTAGATTGTGGGAAGGGAAGAGGACTGTGACTTTTCAATTACATACTTCCTGGACTGTTAATATATCAAAAGCAAATAATCAGAGGTGAAGTGTGCAAGGCTAGTCAACAGCTAAAAATAATAAATGTATTTGCAAACAACCTGCAAATAAATATACACATTAAAAATGGGTGGTTCGGCTTTCAAATGCCGACAAATGCTCTCCATGGTTAGCTAGCTATGGAGAGAAAGGGCTGGAACAAAACCCCCAGCCAGTTACCTCTGGGCAATGGGATTAGGAATGATTTTTATTTGTCTTGCTTATCTGCATTTTCAGACATTTCTACAATGAACCTGAATTACTTTCTTAATTAGAAAAGCAAATGAGAAACGTTAAAAGAGGGAAAGGAACAAACACAGTCACCCAGGGGTTTAAGGAGGATCCACTGTGCATTAGAGAAATCTGTACCAAGAACTCAACTGACTCCCAATCCAAGCACCCAGCCAGTCCCGGGAAAATTGCATTTTGTCTTGACTGCTTGCCAAGCGCTCCAAACAAATTTTCACGATGCCACTTTAGCTGTGAGTAGGGGCTGGGGATGCATGCTTTACATATTTACTGCAGAATAAATATCTTGTGCCTGTTCATTAGAGGGATGGGTAGCGAGCATTTGCTAAGTGCCAGCCACAGCGGCAAGTGTGACATGGCAGCAGACAGCAGAAGTGGGGGGACAGCACATTCCAGACCAGGGGACCTGCATGCACAAAGCCCTTTGGTGGGCTTGTAGTGGCATCTTGGAGGGAAATATGAGCTGAACTGTGTCCCCCCAAATAAGACATGCTGAAGTCCTAACCCCCAGTACCTATGAATGTGACTTTATTTGGAAATAGTCTTTACTGAAGTAATCAAGTTAAGAAGGTCATTAGTCATTAGGTGGCCCTAACACAATGTAAGCGGTGTTCTTACACAAAGGGGAAATGTGGACACAGACAAGCACACAAGGAGAAAGCCACATGAAGATGAAAACAGAGGTCTGGCTGGTCCATCTGCGACAGTAGGCAAAGCCCCAGAGGCTGGGGGAGAGGCCTGGAGCCCCTCCGCCTCAGCCCTGCTGACACCTCGATCCAGGACCTCCAGCTCCGGACGGTGAGGACATCAATGTCTCCTGCTTAGGCCACTCAGCCCATGGCACAAGTTACAGGGGCTCAGGGAACTCAGACAGGGGCTCTGAGAGAAGGAGGGTGGCGGGGCTGCGGCTCTTTGGCCACAGGGCGGGCACTCCCGCTCCGGTGAACAAGGCGGCGCCTGCCCCGTGCACACGGCCCACCTGGCACCAGAAAGCTGGCTGAACACGACCCCAGGACAAAGGACCCTGCAACTGGGGCTCTGCTTACCTGGGTCTCGAGCTCTGTCACCTCCAAATTCAGCTTATTTAGTTGCTTGTTCACAAATGTGATGAGCGACTGCAAGACAACGATGTGGGGCCATGAGTGAGTGAGGGATTCAGCTCCCGTACGGGGCGGCGGACCCAACCCAACATCTGCCATCACCGGCTTTGAGAAACTCTTCCATAATTTCCTCTGTTTGCTAAACTGGAGGCTCATGTTTAAAATTAGATGTTCTTACAATAACCCTTGGTTTGAATGGGATGATGCCTAAGTCTCCCCCAGATGGAGAAGAAAACACCCATCTCTATTCACCGACCCACATGCACACATGCTTATCTACACATGAGCATATTTAATAATCCTATCGAAGCATATTCGGTGCCCTTAAAAAGATAAAATTGTCAGGGAAAGAAAATTACCTTCTTAAATGTGACCTAGATGTCACCTTGAACCACAAAAGGCTGAAAGAGAAAGGCTATCTAGGATTGTCATTCACAGTCTCAGTAAACAGACAGATTCCATCCAGGGCTTTATCTCACAGAAGCAGGGATTTTCTGAGCCCTGTTATATTTGTCTAAGGGTCACTGGCCTCTCCTCTCTAGCACAAGTGTAAAACTTGTCACTTATCACTTTTATCAGCAATCAAACCCAACTTCAATGGGAACTCAATACCAAGTTCAATCTTCCCTACCCAGAGGCACAATGCCACTTCCTTATTCATTCAAGACAAATTTACTGAGCAGCTACTATGTGCCAAGCACTCTGGTTGGTGCTGGGAACACAAAGACAGAGTCCCACCCAGGAGAGCCTGCAAAATAATTCTACATATACACTTGGGGAAGGTGACAGAGAAATAAAGAGAGATAGCAAGGCATGTGGAATATGCACCAGAGGGAGGTTTGATAAGCAGACAAGAACAGGCATGTGGTTCCCTGAAGCCGTGGAGGGGCAGGGGCATGGCAGCTGCGCCTGGAGGTGGCCCAGTGGGAGATGGTGGGGCAGTGGGCCAAGCAGGCACCCAGGCCATGTACACAGGAGCAAACCCTATGGAGTCTTCGGGTTGTGCTGGGTGTGGGTGGGATGGGAAAGTGTAGAAGCGGGTGATCCTGGACAGGTGGGCAGCATCCCCTCGATTTTATTCTGGGGTATGGGGAACCACTAACAAAGCAATCTTGATGTGGGGGTGGGGAAGGGCCAGGCTGGGGGCCGGAGCTGTCAGACAAACAGAAGGATTTCGTCATGTTCATTGCTGGGGTCCACAGGGCTCAAAATAGGTCTTTTCAAAAAATGAGTGAAAGAGGAACATAATACCATGTCATAGTCAACATAATTCAGTGACCGTGTCCTGCACGCTGGGCCACTGCACAGACACTGTCACGCTACTCTCACAGCACCCTGAGAGGCGGGCACTGCCTCTGTCCTGACAGATGGGGAAACTGAGGCCAGGGGGTGTAATCTGCCTCAGGTCATAGAGATGATGAGTGAACCAGATTTGAAGCTGCTTCTTGTGCATATATGGAGTGTGTTCTCTTGGGGTTCCTGGGGGCCGGACGTGGCCGGGTGAGGGTAGGGGGCAGTATTTCAAGGCCCCAGTGTTAATGACCTAAGGATGCTAAGAAAGCTCCACCCCAAAAGGACCACTGGGATGGGTCTACCCGCCTTTTGCCAAATGCTTCCAAGAACTAACAATATCGTCCCACCCTGGACCAGTATTTTCCAAAAGTGGGTTTCATGGGAATTTAACTTGTTTTATCCCAAAATAAACAAACAGATCTCACTATCAACAAAGAAGTTTAGAAAATGCTTCCTACCAAATCTCCTCTTGAAAAATTCCAAGGCATGTCAGCACGTTAAGGGCTCTAAGAAGTCCTGCATTAAGAAGCCTGTTTGGAGAAGTTATTCTAGACAAAGAAGACCCTCCCCTAGGTCATGGGCAGAAAGCACCATTCCTGGGATTTTACAGGAAGGCAATAATAGCATCCATCGCACCTCTGAGTCCCCGACTGAGATGTCTGCATGCACTCAGACACCAAATGTGCAGTGAGGTGAGTCTCCATTCTTTTTGGGGGAGAACAAGCCTTCCTAACAGATCCCCCCAGGAAGCTTATCATTCCCCAGCCCCTGACTCCAGAGCCTCAGGTCATGTGGGTTTTTTCATCCATAGATTTGCCAGCTGGCTGCCTGGGCTGCTGAAGGGCCTGGGCTTTGTGCTCCTGTCTGAAGGGAAGTCAGGCCAAATGCACGCACAGAACAGCTCTGCCGCAGAGGCCTGCCTGTTGACTGGGTGAGCTGGGTGAGTGCGGCTTCCTGGTAATGAGGCCAGCGAGAGCCAGCAGGTTGGCATGCTTAAAAACATTTCCACATTGAAAAAAAGCCCTGAGTCGGAATGAACCGCCAGGCTAGTGCTGGCTGGGTAATTCACTCAACACAAGTGGGGCGGGTGGGCAGGAAGATACCCAGGGAGCAGAGATGTTGAGTTAAAAGGTGCTAATTTTATGCACTGTAGTTACATTTTCAACTATAATTACACTTCAATCCATGTGGCAAACATTTCAGAGATTTCAAACATTTCCCCACCTTCTTCCCAGCATGGAGCACATGCCGTAAAAAAGCCTGGAGACGCAGCAAAACACTCTAAGCAGGAGCTTACCTTCTTCACCACGCTGAGCTTGTCCGGGGCGTGGTCGAAGAGGGTGTCGAAGGCGTCCCGCTCTGCGTGGACACGTGAGAGACACAGGAGACAGGCTCAGGGGGACACAGTGCTGCCCCACACCTGCCCATCCCACGGGACATTCAGCCTGCCTAGAATCCTTTTAATTCCCACCAGAACTGAAGGGCGGGGGCTGATGAGGAGAACCAAGGGAAAGACGCTTCTCTGGTTCATTCTAACCCGGCTTCTATCTGGTAAAGCGAAATCCTCAGGCAGCACTTGGGTACCCATCCCTATCGCATCCGAGGGCCGGATGCCTCTCTTCCTTCCCCACACTCCTTGGCTATTAGCAGATTTGGTCGGTAAGTCTGACTGCCCCACCCGCTTTGTCCTGGCTGCCACCCCCATACAAGCCCCGTCACCCCACCCAGGGGCAGCCGCAGCCCGCTGCTTGGCCGGGCTCCCTCCTCGGCTCTGGGCCCTTCCGATGCATTCTCCCTGGCAGACAGGAGCCCCTTCAAGTGTAAACTGAATCCTTTCTTTCCCCTCTCTATCCCTGCCCTGGCTAAAACTCTCCAAGGCTCTTCATCCCTCTTAGAATAAAATTCACTCCCTCTCCTGTGGGCCCACAGGATCCACCGGGCTCAGAGTCACCCCTGCTCCCCTCCCTGACTCCACCAGCTGGCTTCCTGGATGTGTGGCTTCCTGGATGCTCCTCCTTCACACGCCCACCACAGGGCCTTTGCATCTGCTGTTCACCTGCCCCGCTTCCTCCAGGTGGCTCTCAGCTATCACTTCCTCTAAGGGGCCTTCCATGACCATCTGTGTCTAAAAGAGCACCCCACTTCTGCTCTCTGGCCTGTTACTCTGGTCGTACGTTGCACAGCACTTAATCACTACTTAAGAGTGCATTTTAATTTGCCTGCTGTGTGTTATCTGCTGGACTGTCAGCTCCTCAAGCTGGGACTGCTGTGTTGCTGGCTCCCTGGACACACTGTCTCTGGCTCCTGGAACGGTGGGGCCCACATCCAGCACTAAGAACACACCAGGAGACCCTGCCCCAGAATCCGCAGCAGCTCTTCTGGGATGTCCTGTGTATGAGAACATCTGCAAGGCCTGACATGGCCTCCCTCTGTGTCCCGACTAACTTCCTTCTCCCAGAAAAGTTCTAACCAACGCTACTGCCATGCACGGGCCCAGCTGTGCCCTCCCAGGCACCCAGAACCCATCCCTTCCCTTTCCAACGTGAGGCCGCTGGAGGCCAAATCAATGCTGCTCTAAGCAGATGAGAAAGCAGCATGGCTGGCTGGGGGACAGGTGCCTGGTTCTAGGCTGGCACTGCTGGGACAGGGTCATATGGAGGGGGCCGCTGAAGCCTGGCCCCAGGCAGGAGGGCTGAGGTCTCCAGAGTGGACGCAGGGCCCCAGGGAGTCACTGCCAGGGCCGAGGGGGCAGGAGAGGGACATTCGGAAGGCCCTGGGGCCCCAGCTCCTGTTGTCAAGGAACCAGCCATCCTCTCAAGATGCCTGGGGGCAAACGGCTCCGAGGACCTCAGCCGGCAGAGAGGGCCTCACCGCCAGCCAGGGCTTGGGCCCAAAGGCCGACCCAGAATTCCGGAGAGCCCAGCGGGACGGATGGGGATAGGAAGTCTCCTCTGCCTGTCCGGAGGTGCCAGAGGCCCAGAAGCAGAGCTGGCCCAGGGCCTGCTTCAGGACCGCCCAGCCGGACTCACAGAGAAGGAGCAAAGAAATGGGAAGAGCACAGGCCGTGGCCGGAGAAGGCCAGCCGGCCAGGGCTGTTCCTGGCGGGCATCTTGAAGGGTGCATCGGCCCTTGTGGGCAAGCCTGCTCCCCGGCCGGCCCAGCCAGCCTCCTCCCTGGCCTTGGGGATGAGGGTGGGCAAGGAGGGTGAGAGGCAAAGAGGAAGGCGTGTGGGCGAGTGTGCCCACTGTGTGCACACACGTGTCGTGGAGGGGGCCGTGGGGGAGGGGCGCCCTGCTTCCTTGGCCAACACAAGGAGAGGCCCGGCCCAGGGAGCACCCTCCTCCAGCTTTTCCACCACAACAGTGTAAATTCTTTTTATAATCATCAAAGTCAGATTATACTCAATAAGACAGTCTGCTAAGAAGGAAAAAAAAAGCTAAATCTTTACAAAGCAGAACACAAACTTTATATGCAGCTTGAGAAAAACCCTGGGAACAGTACAGCGCTTGACGTCAGCCGGGTATATTTAGCTGAGCCACCGCTGGGCTCACAGAGGGAAGGCGTGCAGGGGAGGCACCAGAGGGCCCGGGGGCCTGCCACCCTGCACCTCGCTCCCTGGCACCAGGATGGGGAGGACTGGGGCTGCGTCACATGGCCCGGGCCAGCCTTCCCTGTGCCCTGGGGTATGCCCAGCCTTCGGCATGAAAACAGCCGAGTTCAAACCCCAGCTGCCTGACTTCAGAGTCCTGTGGCTTTAGGCAAGTGCTTCCCTCCCTAAACCTGCATCCTCCTCTTTACAGAGGAAGTAAAAACAGTCCATACCTCACCACTGGCACATGAATTAAACAAGACAGTGAAGGGCCAAGCACAGGAGCGGCCCTCTCGTCCTGACCCCACGTGAACCGCCCTCCGCAGGCTCTGCGGACGTCATGGAGACCACAGGGTGCAGCCCAGCCCCGGGAGGGGCACCAGCAGAGGACACAGTGGATAAACCAGGGTGGCACGAAGAGGGCAGGTACTTAAAAATGCCAGAAAGGATGTGGGAAGGTACCAAATCCACTGAGGTGTGCCAAGTTCAACCGCAGGGATGCTCGGTTTAGTCCAAAGTTGTTTTTGAGCCAATATTTTTTTAAATTGGAAGACTTGTCCAGAAGTTCTGACTCTGGTTTCTCTTGAACTGGTACTGTGGCAACTCGAACCCACATGCCCACCGGCATCAGTGAGCCGCCCGTGGAAGTGGGGTGCGGGCCCCCAGTCTGCTCCAGGCCCCACCAGTCCCCACCACCACCCAGCACAAGGCTGCAGGGCAGCTCGTGGCCATCACTTGACATTCTAGCCACTTCTCTCTCTCAGTTTACCAGCCCAGCCCCTGGACACGCCAGAGTTTGGGGCCCACGGGCATAGGGCCGGGGGCGGAGGAGGGCCTCCCAGGGAGCGCTGACATCTGAACTGGGACTGGCTGGGACAAGAGGAAGGGCATTCCAGCAGAGGGCACAGAGTGCAGAGAGGCACAAGGAGGCAAGAGTGGGTTCCAGATGGTGGCCTGTGAGGGAGCCTAAGAGGGGCTGAGCCCTGCAGGGTGAGGAGCCGCAGAGGGTGGGGACCAGGAATGGAGGAATCTGGCTGCAGAGTTTAAAACAAGCTCTGTTGACAGAAAGCGGAAGGTGAGGGGGGATACCCGGAGGGAAGAGGAAGGAAGCTTCTCCTCCCTCCCCCCACATCCCAAAGCCCAGGCACTGGAAGGGCTGCCTGTGGAGAAGCCAGCAAACCCGTTGCCATGGAGATCAGGCTGCAGCTCCCAACATCCCTGGGGAGAAGGGCCTCCCACTCCACCTCAGCTGGGAGGCAGGTGTAAGGGGGAGCCCCAGAGGGCAGGGTGGAGCCTTCCCTTCCCAGGTCAGTGTGCTCATGTGAGGCCGAGAACACAGCTCCTGGCCAAGCCCAGCAGGCAGACGTTAGCCAAGGAGGGTCTGCCTGGTATTCTGGAAGCTCCTGAAGCCTGTGGCCCAGGGCTCCAGCCTACAGAAGGTTACAGTTCAAGTTTCTGTGCGTGAAGGGGAGGGAAGGGCCTGGGACCCCAGACTGTCCAGGCACATGGCAGGGCTTGCCAAGCACTCCCGGTGTGCAGACATGAGTGAAGAAATAAGGCCTGTGGAGGCAGGGCAATCAGGGAGGGCCTCCCGACAGTGACATTTGAGCAGAGAGCCGGAGCAGCTGGGACTGAGCCCCAGGGAATCTAGAGGGAGAGCATTTCAGGTTTGGGGACATCCTAGGGTGTCTTCAGAGCAGCAAGGGCCACTGGACGTGCAGGGGAGAGGCAAGGGGCGTCCAGAAGGGTAGTCTGAGGGGGCCGTGGTTTTAGCTCAGGCCGAAGTCGGGGAGGGTTGAGGGGTGGTTTAGGAAGCACCACCCAACATGGGTGCAGAGGAACCAACTCGAGGGGAGGGTGGGGCCCAGCACCAGGGGAAGGTGAGCAGGCCCAGGCTCAGTGGGACTTAGGGCTCAGGGGTGCCACAGGCCCCCAGGGGAAAAGGGCCGTAGGCTGCCAGTCTAGGTGCCCAGGAGGGCTGGAACCTGCGTCAGCAGAAGCTGAAACTGCAGGCAGAACTAATTGCCTGCCATCCACTAATAGCCTGTTTGCTCTTCGCAAGCACAGAGGCGGCCATGGAGTAATGAGAACCACTCGCACTTCCCGGTGGCATGGCCCCTGCCCTGAATGCTCGGGTGGCAGCTGAGTCCGTGTTTCAGACCGTGACACCTGGCTGGTTCCCGGGGCCCTACCATCCTGCACTGCAGGCCCCAAAGCGCTCGTTCAGGGGTGCAGAGCTTCTCAGCTTCTCCGCCACATATCTATACCCAGCCCCCAACTGGACTGACTCCCCAGGGCCCCAGACCTCAACGGGGGCCCATCCCAAACATGATGAGACAGGTCCTGAAAAAGACACCACACAAAAATGCTCTGAGGCCCCACTCTCATCCCCTCTACGCCGCTACAGTCCCACAGGGTCTGAGCCGCCTCGGGCAGGAGGGGTGGGCACAGAAGAGAGCCCTGGACCCTTCCGTGGGCCCTCTACCAGGCGTCCAGCCCCTCCAGGCCCACGCTGGCTGGGGAGCTGCACCCTCACTTCGGTTGTCCTCAGCAACTGGACACAGGAGAGTTTCCTTTTCTCTTCCTTGTTTTGTTTTTTAATAATGACATTAAAAATAACCAAATTGATACTGCAAAAAGCAACAGTGAAAACTGAATTGCCCCACACAGCGTAGGGCCTGCTCAGGAAAGCTTCAGGACAAACAACCCTTGCATTTTCTCTCATTCAAGACTTTGAGACTTCAAGAGCTGCATCCCCTTCCATACGCAAGCGGCCGTGGTGTGCCACGGGTCCCCATGATAACCAGGAGGCTGCGGAGCCCTGTGGCCAAGCCTGGGCAGGCCTCTGGGGCGGCCCCCTCCCCTGCAGCTGCAGGACCAGCCCCAGGGAGGCAGGCTCGCAAGGCCTGCCAGGACCTTCTCCCTGGCCTCCCTGGCTCCTTCTAGCCGCTGGGCTCCCCTCTCCGCTCACCGGAGAACTCAGTGCGGGGGAGCTCTCTGTTTTGAAACAGTCCCCAAAGCAGTGACCTAGCTCGCGGCGGGAATGTCCCTCCTGGAGGGATCAAGTGCCATCACTGCAGTCCCTTTACCTGTCACCCTGCTGAGATGACGATGGGGCCATGGGGCTTTCGCAGGACAGCTCCTTGGGAACAGCCAGAGGAGCCTAACAGCAGGAACCACCCCCGAGAAAGAGGGCTGGGCTGAGTTTTTTGTTTATTCATTATCTCACACCATCCCGCAGCCAGCCCCCCGGCCCCACCTCACAGACGTCAGCAGGGAGCAGAGTCAAGGCTGCCTCTGAGCAGGCCTATGCTCAGGAGAGTTTAAGGTGGAAAACTGTAGGAAAGTACAGCCAAGAGGAAGGCCTCTCCCGGGGGCTAATAGGCTCCACATTCCAGCGGACATCTCCACCCTCCTGCATCCTGGTTGCCCTCCCTGCTCTGGTCCCTGCCAGGGAGAGCAGGTGCCACATCCCAGGCACTTCCCTGTTCCCCATTCACTTCGCCAACCTCCCACTATATCAGTATCACCACCCGGCTCTGAGATGCAAGGCACAGGTGCAGGGCCCACAGGGACGTGCATGCTTTCTAAGCACTAAGATCCAGACTGGTGGGAGCAGTGAGACCCACCCAGGGTCGTGCTTCCCCCCGAGAGGGCCTTCCTGGGGCAGCCCTGAAGTGCTTGGCAGCCTCAGGCTCCCGCCACCCCGTTACTTACCAAATCGGCCCATCATTGCCCTGTGAATGAGAACAGAGGGAGCTGTCATTAGGGGCCACTCAGAACACAGCCTATAAGCAGCCTGATGGAGGGTGACCTAAAGGTCGGGGCCCCAAGCCCCCCAGCTGAAGGGCTACTTATAAAAATGTAAGCCTTGTTTTGATACACTCTGTCCTGCTGCCTTGACAAATAAGAGGTGCTTAGGAGGACTACTAACATTTGCACCTTTATTTAAACCACCCTTTAATGCCATTTGGGGTGCTATTTAAATCATGGGACTGGTTGGTGTGGAGACCATTTCAGCAGAACACAGGCCTTCTAGCAGCCATTGAATGGTAAATATTAAGATACTAGGGTGCAGGTGACCCAGGGCCACATTTCAGGGAGTAAGCCTGCTGTACTTCCAGGGAATCACAAAACCACAGGGTCTGAGGAACCCCAGGCTGGGCCCTGATGTCCAGTGGGCACAAGGCAGACCCACTGAGGACAGACAATGGGGTTCTCCTGAAGGGCTGCAAGTGCACTGGGCCACCTCCCTTCCACACGCTACCTCCCCAGGGGCAAGAGATCTTAATTTTGTTCCCAGATCCTTCCAGACTCAAGTCTTTTGGACCCATCTTATTTGACAAATACTCCCTTGAGTACCTGATATGTGCAGGCCAGGGACATACAGAAATAAATGCTCCGTGGCCCTGCACACAGAAGACCACACTTCAGTACAGCCCGTGTGCACCCTACATGTGACATGTAGATGCTACAGGAACTAAAAGGAAGCTGTCTTGGCAGTCAGGAGGGCTTCCTGGAGGAGGTGACCTGAGCTGCCTCTAGAAAGAGAAATGGGAAGGATGCTGAGGTAGGTGGGAGCAAGGAAGACACCTCAGGAAACTATAAAGGTCGATCTGTGGTGCGCCAGGAGCACAAAAGCCAGATGTGGCCTGGAGGCAGGTGGGGCAGCCCTGACGATTTGGGGCAGACATCTGATGGTTCAGGCTCCGCCAGATCTGCTGTGGCCATACAGAGAAGACGGGACAGGATACAGCAAACCCGGAGGCAGAGAGGCTGGGTAGCCTCTACTAGAAATCTCTCCCCTGAGTTTGGGGCGCTCCCTCTCGCCCTGAAATCCCCGTAGAGCCACACAGCACTTCCCACCAGCTCCCTGGGCTGGAGTTCACATTTCTGTGGACACACCCTTTTCTCACCACCTAGACCACAGCCCTTGAGGAGAGGAACCATGTCTGAAGCACCTGCCTCTCTGCCCAGTGCACAGTAGGCCCTCTGCGTGCTGGTGACTGCTGTGAATTGTTCAGGCCACTCCCACCTGCCCAGCGCCAACCATAGAGCTCTAACTCCTGCTGCTGCCCTCCCTCAGGTTCCCTTGCCCCGCAGAGACAGCACGGGACAGACAGCCTCTTCCCATGGCTGCCTGCTCCCCACAGCAAGGGGCCTGGCTGCCCCCATCCACCGAGGGGCAGGATGCCTCCCCTTCTCCAATCTGAGATGACCTGGTGACTTGCTATGATCCCCAGAATGCAAGGACACAGTGTGTGGGGGCCCAAGGGGCCTGTGGCCCCCCTCCCTGGCCTGGCACTCTGAGGGCATCCTGGGGGGAATCCTGGCTTCACGAGGACAAGGGATGTGTAGAGAGATGGAGGTGCTCCCACGGCCTGCGCCAACCACCAGGCTAGCCAAAGACCCACCCAGGTGAGCCCAGCCCGGCCTGCTGGCCCACGAACTGTCAGCACACAGAGCAACTGTTGTCTTAAGCTACTAGGTTCGGAGTGGTCTGTTATATAATAATGCACGACTGAGATGCCATCCCACTCCCAGTTCCTCTCCAGCTGCCGCCTGCTGCTCCAGAACAGGCCAAGCAGTGTGCCAGGCTCAGCACATCTCTGGCCTTCCTTCCCCATCTCCCCCCACCCCAGTTCCCTCCCATGGGCTTGGAACAGATGGGAGCACACGTGGGTCAGCGTCTCCAATCTACCTGACAGCCCCTGCACTCGGAGTGATTTCCTGTGTCAGCTCCGAGTTTTGAAGGACCATACATGAATTCATGACATGGTAATTAACCCTCCGTGAACAGAGCGGGTGGGTTAGTAGGGATGATCAATTTTTAATGATCTGTTTCATCTGAAGCAGGTTTAGCCGAGAGACACAAATACAATGAATTTCAAAGATCCATAATAGAGTGTCTAAGACCTCCTAAAAACCATGCTCAAAATATACCATTTGATTTGCTATTTTCAATAGATTTGAAGCCTTTCAGACTGTGAAAACTGCCCTCTGGCTTTACAAGAGACGAGATGTGGCTCAGCACTGCCTCAAAGGCAAGTTCTACTGCAGACATGGGGCTCGTTCCCTCTGACAGAGCTAATGGACATGGATCAAGGAACTGGGACGGTCCCTACAACCACCCTGAGGCCCTCCCAGGCCCTCCCTCCCTCCTCCTCAGCTCATCCTCTAAATAAAACAAGGAACAGAAAACCCGAGGCTTTGAAGACTAACCCAGTTCTCACATCAGAAACTGAAGACCTCAGTGGACCTACTATATTATATCAAAATCCAATGAGTAAAACTTCCCCCTGTCCTTTCCTTCCTTATAAGAGACTTTGGACGTGATCTATTCTATTTATCATTCTCCATCTCAGTCCAGAAGAGAGTGCAGGCAGCCCACGTAAGTTCAGGGAGAGCATGTGCCACATCCCAGGCACTGCCCCATTCACCTCACCAGCCTTCCTATGCCACACATATTTGCTGATTCTTCTGTTTGGAAGAAATAAAAGATGTGGAATTCCTCATTTAAACACCAAATCAAATGGCTGTCTTGCCCTTCCTCAACAACAACAACAAAAAAAACCAAATCAACTTTGAAGAAAGTGCTTGGAAGATGGAAAGCTAGGCCAACTCTTGCATGAAAATCTTAGCCTAAGGCTACAGGACATGGGTGTCCTCGTCCCCGGCTGACGCAGGGCCCACTTACTCCGTGGTTGTGGTCAGCTCCTCCGTGACATGGCTGGAGTGCAGCAGGCCTTCCCGCTTCTGAAAACCCCAAAGGAACAAGTAAATACACAAACACCTGGGTAGGCGGAAAGGACAGGAGGAAGGGCATCACCAACAGGGCAGCGGAAGCCACATGCGAATGGCCCTGCAGCCGAGACCACATTAGGGGTGACAAAGGAACTGTGCAGCCACACCCGAGGAGGTGACCCTTTCAGTGGCTAGAACCTGCTCCCCAACTTCCCATCCACTCTGGATTCTCCACATGGCTCTGCAGGCTGGCATCTGTGGGGGTCTTAGGAGAAGTACCGTAGTCCCAAAGGGATCTGTCCTCTGCATCTGGCAGCTGGGAGAGGTAGGGGCACAAAAGCACCCACACCGCAGGGCAGCACCCTATACGGGACATGCACTGGGACGTCTCCAGATGTTGTATCCATTCAGAGCCTCTGAATGTGGCCTTATTTGGAAATAGGGTCTTTGAAGATATAATTAGTTAAGATGAGGCCATAATGGACTAGGGTGGGTCCTAAATCCATTATGACTGGTATCCTTTCAAGAAGAGACAATAGACAAAGAAACATGGACACAGAGGCTAAAGGTCACGTGACTCGGGGGCTACGTCTCCAGCCAAGGAGCCCGGGACAGCCAGGAGCCGGAGGACAACAAGAGGGCTTCTCGCTGGCGGCTGCCGACTCCCTGGTCCACACGTGGGCTCCACGGTTGGGAGGGAACACGCGTCTGGTGCTTTGCCACCCAGCCTGGTATTTTGTTACAGCAGAGGAAATGGTGGAGGGGGGACACCCTGGGGGACCCCCAGAGGGGAGCTTGGGGGCCAGCTAACCCAACCACCATCATGAGCCCCTAAGGGACAGGGAGCTCACTCCCTACTGCCAGCCCATGGCAGACAGCTCTTGAGACCTGAGCTTCCCAACCCACCCGAGTTCAGTCTCCAGGGACCTCGCACCCCTGGCGCTGGTGAGTGAAGAGTCACCGTGGAGGGCGGCTGTCAGCTTTCTCACGGCCTCACCCCGGCTGACTCTCAGGACAGCCCACCGAGGGAGGTTCGGAGATATTTTACACACATAATCACACGTCAAATGAGCATCAGGCGCCTACCAGGTGCCAGGCCCAGGCTCGGTGTGGGACACAAGAAGCCGAATGTGTTGTTTAACGTTTATAGTATAACCTCAATTTCATGGGGAAATCATTGCAGTTCAGAGAAATCAAGCGACCTCCTGAGGCCACAACGCTAGGTGGTAAATGAGGCACTTGCCGTCTGTCTGTCCCTCCAGCAGCTTGCATCTTGCATCTCAGATTGGATAACTGGACGTGGAGGGACAGGCCAGGGGCCCCTGGGGAAGGCAGGGGCAGCTCTAAGGTCTGGGAGGAAGGCTTCCGAGGTCTGAGCTGGCTAGGCCTGGGACTGATTCATTCCACTTTGGGCAAAGCCCAGCGAATCCTTCCTTAACCCAGGTCGAAGCAGGAAGCCCCAACAAGTGCTTGCCCGGGTCAGGAAAACATTCCATAAACCCGAAAGATTTTCTTGGAATAAAGTGCAGGCCTGAAAGGAAATACACTAATTGCCAAGCTGCACAGCGCTCATGGGGCCTGGGTCTGACGTCCACGGGTTTGGGAACCACATTCCCACATGTCCTCAGGAAGCCTTTCCCGCTGGCGGCCCCAAGGGAGCACCCACGATGCGGGTGGCAGGAGCGGCCCCCTCCTCATCCCCACCACCGCCCATGAACATCCCTCCTCAGGAATCTAATGGGGCCAAGAGCAGGTAACCCTCCCCTAATGCAAGGGGGCATTCTTGTGGTCAGGGTAGGGCTGAGCTCCCCAGGTAACACAGGGGCCAGGCAGCTTTGGGAAACACGGGATCAGGCAGAGCCTTGCAGAATGCAAAGACCACAGGGCCGGTAAGTTTAAAAACCAGAGGGCGCCTGGAGCTGGAAATCAAGTGTATAAACGGGCGAGACATCCAGGTTCTGAGCATAACCTCAATGCTCTGGCACAAGCCGAGGTTCCGGCAGGAACTGACTGTATTTTCCTCAGTCTGTGTCCCCGATAACCAGTGCAGAGTGCCAGGTACATAGTAGGCACCTAATACACACTTTCTGGGCAAAACCGCAAACACAAAGCCAGAGTAGGGTCTGTCCCCTTAAACGGAGGGAAGCGGCCAGGAAATCTGCTCCTTCTCGGTCAGGAGGCCCCTGGCTCCTGGTTACATTTCCCCACGTGAAGCAAGAGAAAAGGGCCCTAACGAACAGCTCCCGGTTCTGACGGCTGCCATGCGGGGGGAACACGCAGAAGCCTTAATCAGGGTATCTATTTCCTACCGCTGGGCTCAACCTCACCAGTGAGTAATAGGCTCATTCAAGAGGACTGAATTCCAACGACTTGGTTTTGGAGAGAAATGAATGTTCTTTTCAAAAAATGTGTGAAATTAAACTCCACACCCCCACGCCTTTGAATCTGCCTCGCTGCAAATCAATGCCATTGTTCCTGTGCCAATTGCTCATCTCCAAGCCAGGGCAAAGCATACATTTTGTCAAAAGGGAAAAATAGAAGGTAGCCTCTTGGGGAAGAAAAAACAAAGCAACAGAAAGCAGGAAATGCACGGGAGGAAAAAGCCGTGGTGCCTCTCGCTGGATGGCAGGCAGGCTGACCGCCGTGACACTCACCCGCACGACCACCACTTGGACGGAGACGTGCTCAGGAAGGCGGATCGGAGCCCTGAAGTGCATGGCCAGGGACACGAGCAGGTGCAGGATGGCCACCAGGTTCTTCCCATGAATTGCTTTTCGCGGGGGAGGGAAGAAGGGAGCTGCCTTAGATCAGGTTATATAGGAACCCTGAGCCCACATCCACAAGGCAATGAAACTGCATCTAAGCGAGACCTCGGAGGAAAACCGCAGGCCACGGGGAAATGAGGAGAGCTGATGAGCACCCTGTATGAATTGAGTTCTAATTTTTCTTTCCTGTTGGCCTAAGGTGACTTGTGTAATCACTTTCAAGAGCATGATGTTCTTGAAAAGGGTAAATTGAGGAGTGATAAGGAGAAGTAATGGGCAGGAAAGTAAAATTAGCACAGGAGAAGGGGAAAGATCATGAAAAGCAGGTCACCCTGGCCATCTACCCATCACAATAATGTGCGTCATTATCTCTGGCACTTAAAGAGCTGTCCATCTATGCAATCAGCTGTCTCCACAGGGTAGGCTGCAGGGCAAATGATGCTTTGGGATATGTGAACCCTGCCCTGCTGCGGCCCTGGCTGCCACTGCCAGCTCGGCTCACGAGACACGGACCAGGGTGTGGTTGTAATCCCTCCCCCGCAGGGGTTTACAGGGTAGGAGACCCCCCACAGCCCATGAGGCTGTCCTGGGACTGACCCAGGTCTCAGTGCCAAGAAACCAGTGCAAACCTCCTAACCACAGCCTGCAGCTCGTCCCCCCACCGCACAGGGCCCCCAAGGCACGGAGAGCCCCGAGGCCTGCCCTCCTGCCGTGCACCGAGGATGGGGGGCGGGGTGGGGGCAGGACAAACAACTTTCCAGCCTCTCTTGGTTTAGTTCTTCACCTTCTGGAGTTCATGTCTTGGCTGGAGATACTGCAATGCCACATATTCCTAACACCAGCAGGCCTGCCAATATTCCAGAGACTAGCATCAACCACCTCCTGAGACCTGCTCTGGGGGGGTCATCAGTAACACAGCTCATTTGCTGTTGGTGCCATTGGTATCTGGGCTGGGGTCCCTTGCAAGAACCCCCCCAGAGCTTCTCCTGTCTTATAAGCCAAACTCCCATCCTTGTTCTGGAAGTCTCTCTCAATTCACCCAGGGAGAAAGGACTCCTCTGTACTCTAAAGCACTACAAACACAGAGAATGCTGGGTGTGACTTAGTCCCTTACCAACAAGCTCCCTAGAAGGGGGGTTCTGGCTTTCTCCTCCCAGAGCTGCCTCTCCGGAGCGGGAGTGCGAGCTGGTTTTTAAAATGCAAGACCAGATGCGATGATGGGTGACCATGTGGAAGCTGAGAGGACGGGCTCCCTGTCCGCAGAGGCTACTCACAGTCAACGGTCCACTGGAGCGCCCAGCCATGGGGCCGCAGCAGGCCGTGCACAGCTTCCAGCACTGTCTGCAGCTTCTGTTTTTGTCCTATTTCAGACTGTGTCACCTCGGCCACATTCAGCTTGCAGCCGGCCAGTTTTTCTGCAACAGGAAAGTCAAAAGCCAAGAGGCAGAGTGTCAGGAAAAGCTGGAGGGACTCAGGGCTGCCCAGTCAACTGGCCACAAGGCAGTCCCCTCCCTGACCAGCGCCAAAGCGGAGCGGATCATCACGCGACCACGGGAGTTTGCAGGATGTTGAGTCGTGAAGCCTTCAACTTACAAGTCACTTGTATTTCTTAGAAAAGTACTCCAGAATGAAAAGAGGTCTGGGAAGCTCAAAGACGGAGCTGTGGCTGTCCCACTTGGGAAAATTCTATGCACATAAAATGGAAAAAATGCAGGGTTTTTTTTACAAACGATTTGAGGTGCAGTTGAGAGGCTACGACGTGACGTGCAGGGAATGGGACTGGAGGCGAGAGGCTGTGCCGGCAGTTCAGGGGGAAGAGGCCTTTAATAAATAAGACACGAAGGTGTTAGATCCTGCCTCCTGCCTCTCTGCACTCTGATGCTCCCGCTATTCCTTCTCTGGATAAGACACAATGATAAGAAGAATTGTTAGATGTTCACAGATCCCTGCTACTGTTTTATTACCAAGAGTGAGCAGGGGGCAACCCAGAAGAGCCGGACAAGAACGGTCACATCTGGTTGATTCCATTACTCAGACTAAGGCCGGTGAGCCTGCCATTCCTTCCCAAGCAGAACAGTAGGGGACACCGGACCCCACACCTGCTAAGGTGCAAGGTGAGGAAGGATCCCCAGGATTCCTTCCTATTCATTTATTCTAAGACCCAGGTGTTTCCCAATAGATTTCTCCTGCAAAACAACAGAGGTGACACAGCGATTACAAAGGGCAGGGCGCGGAGCAGGGCATGCGCTGACAGGAGGGAGGTCCCTAACTCTAGTTGAGCTCAACCTGGTCGCCAATGGGTTTCCATCTTGCAAGTGGTCCCCAGCAAAATTCCATTTAAGGCGTTTTCACCAGGGGCCCTGCTACTTTAGTCTTCTCTCCCCCAAGCCCTCCCTCCATCAGGTAGGACAGGTGAACAGTTGTCATGCGGCTCCAGGATAACACAATCCCAGAGCATCTCAGGACACTCGCTCACTCGGCCATTTGCTCACAGAGGCTGGCAGCACCGACTGTGTACCAGGCACCGTCCTAGGGCAGGATGTGGCGCAGGCAGGTGGGGTCTCCAGTGGGGAGATGGCCACACCTGAACAACACCAGGCTGGGGACTGTGAGTGCAACAGGCAAAACGCAGCCTGCAGGGGATGAAATGACTCCGGCTTACACGCTCAGAGTTCCCTCCACCTGCATCTGGTAGGGCCTAGCTGAATAATCCCCAGCTGCGCATGTGTATGAACACCCTGAAAATACACTGCAGGTCCCCAGGTGTTCACCAGCCATACTGGGCAGAGCAGGGGCCCCCGGGGAAGGAAGGAGGAGGAAGAAAGGCAGGTGGTCGAGAGTGTTGCCCACGGACAGCCAGGGAGCCCAAGCCCAGCACGCCTCTGCTGTCCCCTTCCACCAGCCACCCCTGCAGACTGAACGTAGCCATGATCCCCGGGGTGGAGGAGGAGTTGATGGCGGTGTAGGAGGCTGCTAGGGCTGCCATCACAAAGCGCCACAGACCAAGTGACACAGGCTGGGGGCCTTAAATGGTGGAAATTTACTTCCTCATGGTCCCGGAGGGTAGAAGTCCGAGATCAAGGTGTCGGCAGACCTGACTGCTCCTGAGGCCTCTCTCCTTGGCTTGCATATGGTGCTCACGTGGTGGTGCTTCCAAGTGTATGTTTGTGTCCCAGTCTTCTCTTCTCAAAAGGACACCAGGCATATGGGTTTAGGGTCCACCCATGTGACTTCATTTTAACTTAATTACCTCTTAAAGACTCCAACTTCAAACACATTCCAATTCTGAGGTCCTGGGAGATAGGACATCAACTTGTGAATTCTGGGAGGACACAACTTGGCCCGTTAGACAAAGCAAGGGGACTGGCTGTGCCCGGGGGCTGTGTGGGGAAGAACAGGGTGCTGGGCTGGCAGCATCGCCAGGCAGCCACTGCTGGGCTACACAAGCAGCTCAGAGCTTTCTGCAGCCAGATGCGATGATGAGTGACCACGTGGAAGCTGAGAGGACGGGACAGTGGACAATGGAGCAGATTCTCAGACGTGGCAGGCAAATGTGGGTGATGGCCAACATGGGGCTGGGAGCACTTGGACGAGGAAGGGCCCGCCGTCTGCAAGAAGGGTGTGCTGAGTTAGAAGCAGGCAACAGCCAGCCTGGGAGCCCCTCAGCTGTCCATCACGGGCACCCTCGCTCTGCCCACAGAGGGTCTGTCTTGGGGGTAACATGGCAAATGCAGAAGAATTACACCCACTGAAACCTGCCATGTGGTCGAGAGAATGTAGTTGCTTCCAGCATCTGCTCTCAGGAAGAGCGACACATCTGGGGTCCTACTGGTGACTCACACTCAGCAATCCCACACGGCCAAAGCCAGAGGCCCATTCTCTGTCCTCATCTCCATCATCCCTGCCTCTTGAAACACCGCTCCTCTGTCCCTCCAGAACAACCCTGCTCCCGGCCCGCTCCTCACAGCCAGACACTTCACACTCCTGTGCTGGCTGCTCCTTTTCCTGACCACCGGCTGCTGACCGGCCGGCGCCCGTCCAGAGACCCGTTCTCTCTCTCCAGATGCTCGGAAGTCAGCTTCGGCCTGGGCATTCAGTCAAAATCTCCTCGGTGCCTTTGGCTTCCCCCTCTGGAACATGAAGAGCCGAATGCCTATTCCCAGTATCCCTGGGCCCGAGGACCCTGTGATCACGGAGGTTCCCGCTGCATCTTATCAGTGTGACACCGTTAATTAACCAGGCAAGACATTCTGATGTTCTGTTTATATGTGAACCTTCTTCTCCCATTGTTCTTTCCTTCCGCCAGAGTGATATGTCAAGTGGTTTGACCTAAGAGGGGTCTTAGAATTGCCTTATCAAATACTTATGCAAGGTTTTCAAACAAGATGGAAGTGAAGCCACTCAACCATAAGCAGGCTGCCTGAGCCAAAGGTATGCTCTGCAGATAATAAAACGGACGCAGCAGGACTCACTGACACCCACGGCAGCTTCAGAGCAACCGGTGCATTTGCTGGGACCAATTGAAGAGGGGACCAAAAGGACAGGCAAGGACTTCTCACCTAATACCTGCTCTGTAAAGATGCTCTCCTCCAGGGAGCTGCCGGCACCACCTGCAGACAAGCAAGGCTGAGAAGCAGATGCCAATTCAGAAGCTGTCCTCTGATCCTGAGAGCCAGCCACACTGCTAGATCTAAGGCCTAGGGACACAATTTTTTTCAAGGGACTGGGTAGGTAAAGCCATAGGTGCAAAGAGTCAGAGAGGAAAAATATGAGTGAGTTGCAACACTAGGGTTTGTTTCTGAAAATATGAGCACGCATCTCCTTCAGGCAGGGGGCAAAGCATCGGTGTGAGGGACCATTTCAGTAAAAGAGCATTGTCACCAACTGCCAACTCTTCAAGTCCAAGAATGCAAGGGAGCTAGGTCTTCACCACAGAGAGGAAGGAAAGCTGATGGCCCGGGGCAGCATCCCCATCAGCAGAATCCTTGCAGACGGTGTTAGCCTAAGATGGACACAGCCCTCGCCCTTCTCTGCTGAAAATGTGTGTCTTTCATTTCGGCAGCCAGACGCATCCCAGAGCAGCCCAGCTGCGGATGGTGCAAGAACGGCCACACCAGTGCTACCAGTGGGAACATCAAACCTCTGACCGACGTTTTTCATAATACAGTTGTGATAGTTATTAAACAATCTTGATAACATTTCAGATTTATTCTCATACCACAGAAGTTCATTCTCGTACCACAGGGCTTCCTGGTTCAGCCAGACAGAACTGCCAGGGCTCAGTCACTCCACTTTCAGCCGGACAATGAATTTGAACATTCCTTATGAACACCTCTCCAGGCGAGGCCCTTGGTCCCGTAGCGTTAAATGTCACGTCTGTGCAGCTGAGCTCCACCCTGACTGCGCTGACTTGAGTGGGATGGGTCTCAGCCACTGCAGAGGAAGCCCTCACCCCTCATTCTGCCCCGGCACTACTACTGGGGCCGCATCATTCACCAGGTGTTCAGGCCACACACCTGGCCATCAGTCTCGATTCGTGGCAGCTCTAACCTCCAAAATACCTCCCCACACCCACACTTCCACCTGTGTCTGAGCCACTTCTCCGATGCCTGGGCTGCTGTAATACAACCTGACTGATCTCTCGGCTCTCACCCCTGACCTTCTCCCCTCCACTCTGCACCCAGAAGCCCAACGGACCTTCTAAACCCTAACTCAGATCACTTCACAGTCCTGCTCAGAACCTCGAGTGTCTTCCTGTCCCTTGGAATAAAAGCCTTTGTCTGCCAGCGCCGGACACGGTCTGGCCTCGTCTCACCTCCCCGACCATCACCTTCTGTCTCCCTTCACCACTCTTAGAACACTGCAGACTCTCCTTCCCTTCAGAGTCTCAGCCTGGAACATTTCTCCAAGGCTAGCTGTGCAGCTGTCTGCTCAGATGGCACCTCCCCAGGGCCCAGCCCCTCCACCCAACCTAGCTGCTCTCCGCCCAGAACTCGCTCATCTTCCTAGCGCTGCCACTCTCAAAACCCCTCTTCAGGTCGTCGGCTGGACTACCCCACAAGGCTTCTCTGTCTTCCCTCCACCAGAACACACACAGGGCTGGGGCGGGGGGTACCCCTCTCGTTACCATAGCATCTCCCAAGTCTGGACCCGCACCTGCCGCATAGCACACCAGTGAGCCTTCATTCGGCAAACGAAGGAGTGACCAAAACAAACACAAACCGTTTCTCCTCCAAACGTGCCGTTTGAGAATTGGCTGAATCAGGACAAAACAATGTGTGGGCCATCCGCCACCGTGTCCTTCAGAGCAAGAGAGGCGGCCCGGCTCCCCTCTGCACAACCCCGCAGGTTTCTCTCCAAGATCAGATGGTCTGTGAGAGCCACTGTGCAGACAGAGCACGCAGGCCCTGCCCAGGGTCCAGGAATGATGCAGATGCCAAGCCGAGGAGACAGGACCATGCCCTCTATGTCTGCAGGTGCTAAAACCCATGGTTCGGGGTCATCCCTCTCCGGTCTCAGCCCCTCCTGTCTGCTTTCCCGCAGTACCTCTCCCGCCAGAACAGCACCCCTGAGCCTCACCACCACTCCTCCTGCATTCGGCTCGCCCACCATCATAACGATGGAGAGACAGGTGAGCCCACCCCAGTCTCGTGCCCAGAGCAGATCTGCCAACCCCAGGGCTGAGGGTGGGATCCCCTCTTGACCTTTCGGAAGTGTGTGATCTCTGGTACAAGGGGGCACTGAGTCCTTGAGGCCACCCTCACAGGGCACTTGGGGACCCTGAAAGTATATCAGAGCTTCTTGGGGACTGAGAGATGGTTCAGCAAACAGCTGGGCCCTTCTGGAGACTTTAGATGGTGCCCAACAGATCCCGACAAACACTCATTCACTTGCTGTAGAAGGAGCCCCAATCTGTGCAGGTAAGGAAACCGCAGGGCTTTGTTCCCAGACCTGGTCGGCACAGATTACTGCCTGTCATTGCTCCGAGGGACCCGGAGGACTCAGCAGCCCCGCTCTAAGTGTTCTTCTCTTTGTCTTTTAATTACCAGAATGACTCCAGACCACAGCTGGGCACCACGCTCAGGGCCCTGCGGCCATCATTCCAGTAACGAGCTTCCACAAACATGAAAACGCTGCCTGTATTCACATCCCACTTCCCTCCAAGTCACACCCCCAAGTACACAGCTTGCTCACAAAACACCTGCTGGGGACCTACCCACTCCTGCCACCTCTGATCCCGGATGAGCTGGCCCAGGCCAGCAGGTGCACACAGATGGACGTGGAATGGCGCAGGGCTGGCAGGAGGGCTGGCCCAGAGAGGAAGCAGCACCCATTCTTGCCCCATCTCTGTGCCCCCTTGGGCACACGCAGCCAAAAGCACAGAAGCCACAGGCAGCTCTGGAGGCTGTGGGGGACCTGCTGCGGCGCTATGAGAACGCTCACTGGAGAAAGGATGGGGACGGCTGACCTGAAGCCCAGGGCCCGGGATCCCACCCGGGAGCTGTGGGATCCGGGCTGCGTGCTGAGTCAGCTCTGAGGCCGTGAGGCTTGGCCCGAGGCTGCCCCGAGCTGTGGCCGTCTGTGGGGCTGGGGTGCCGCCCGGCCTGTGGACTCACCCAAGAGCTTCTGGAGCACCTGGCCATCGTAGAGGTCCTCCTCCAGCTGCTTCACGATGATCCTCTCCTCCACCAGGACGTCGCTGACCCAGTCCGTGAGAACCTGGGGAGAGGCAGGAGTGAGGGCCTTGCTCGTCCATACCGCGCGGACCGAGGCGACAACCAGGGCGAGCACAGGACACTGAATCCGGACCCGGAGGTGCCCTGGGCTCAGAGGCCAGGAGGGGATGGATAGGCGAGGGGCCTCTCCCACCCCAGACTGGGGATTCCTGAGAGAAGAGGCCTCCTCGTAGCAGACTTGGGAGCTGGGGAAATACTCCAGAGAAGGAAATGCCGACACGGCTCCCCTGGCTTGGAGGAGGGCGGAGAATGGGTACATGTGAGTAGCATTGCCCGCGGGGCCGCGGGAGCTCAGGCAGCCATAAATGTCCCTCGCTCTCCTGCCGTGAGACCTGCACCCAAACAGCCTGGTCACCCTGAGCTGCAGAGAGGGATCCTGGTGGCCCGTCAGCAACAAGCTCTGAGTACCTACTCTTTTAACAGCTTTATGGAGAGAATTCACATACCACACAATTCACCTTTTCCAGTGTACAGTTCAGTGATTGTCAGTAACTCGCAAAGTTGTGTGACCATCACCCCAGAAAGAAACCCCATACCCATTTCTCCCCTCCCCAGTTCCTTCCAATCACTAAGCTGTTTTCTCTCTCTACAGATTTGCCTATTCTGGACATTGTGTATAAATGGAATCATATATGATCTTTTGTGTCTGGCTCCTTTCACTTAGCATGACGCTTCCAAGGCTCACCCATGAGGCTGTGTGCTTCATTCCTTTCTACGGCTGAATTATATTCCACAGTACAGAGAGACCACATCTGACTGACCCACTTGTGAACATCCGGGTTGTGGGATTAATACATAAATCAAGTATAGAAATCAAGTGCATAATCATATATGACTTGATTATTTTTCCTGTAATTCCTGATAAGTGATCAGGAACAGAACAAACAAGACCAAAACAGTTTCTGTGACCTAACTGCCCTTGCTATTGTTTCAATACCGTGTAAGACGTCGCGCCCCAGGAGACTGGAGACTCTGAGGATTAAGTTTAGAGGTAATGGTTGTCTATTAAGTCCCCCCCACAGAATTCTGTTGTTGTTAACATGTATGTGCTCAATAAATATGAAGGGTGCCCTCTCTGTACCGCTCTTGTGCTCTTACGCCTCGAGTCCCCTGGCTGGCTGACCCTTTCAGATCTTCACTATCCCATCGCGTCTCCTCCCTTGTCTGTGGGTCAGAAGCAGGGAGGGACCGACATGGGTTGTCACCTCTCGGGCAATTGCAAATAACCTTGCTGTGACCATGGGTGTACAGGTTTTTACATGGCCACACGCTCACTTCTCCAGACGAGCCTTCCTCCAAAGCCTTCCATTCAATTCACTGATGACGTATCATAAAAAAAGACAGTTCAATTATGAAAACACCTATGGAGAAATTGGCTTCCCCACTGAACAGAATTCCATGTGGCCAATGTTGTTTAAGGCACTTCTCCACAAAATAAAATGGACACCTGAACAAACCTGATCAAAAACAGTCCATGATTTTCCTGAACAAAACTAATAAAACCAGCTAATTGGTCCCAATAATCTTATGGATGTAGGAGTTAATTGCCCCTCTCTGAGATGAATAAAAGGACACAAATCCAGAATATAATGTTCTTTGTCACTTTTTGAAATAGTTACAACCCGCAAAATTGGCCACAAAGCCAATTTCTGTGAAGTATGTTCTATTTTCCCATTAACTCAAAAACATTAAATCAGACACACAATCCCGTGAAGAGAAGGAGCAAACATTAACTAGAGGATCGGAGGAGGAAAGAGGTGAGCAGCCGTGGTGTTGGGTCTGCTCAAAGCCATCCCTAACCATCGGCAGGACAAGCCGGCCCCACTGCTCTAGCCGTCTGTCTGCCTCCCGGTCCCATCTGTCTCCCTGTCCCGTCACCCCCCCCGAGGCTCAGGTGGGCGGTGTGGGGAGAAAGCAGTGGCCTGGGAGCCTGGCAGCTGGACTTGAGTCCCTCCACAGGCGACAGGACGCCACCGCTCCCAGAAGGCTGCCCCCTCCTGTCTTCAGGCGCACACCCTCAGAGGCCATGCTCACCTGGCGCGCAGCCTCCTCGACTACCCTCCCAGTTTTCCTGGGGGTCCTCCCCAACACTGCCACTGCCTCCTGACCTTAAAGGGCATGTTCCTGAGGCCTCACTCTGGAGAACTCCCCTGCTCGCCCTCCACTCTCTTCCAAGGCCAGCTCATGCCCTCCTGCAACTCCAACACTGTTCCTAAACCCCTAAACATACGTACGGCCCACTTCTGCACGATCTCAATGCCCGTGTATTCTATGGGAGTATGTAAAAGAACTCCTCATCACCCAAACCTGCTCCTTTTCCAGGGAGGACGCAGTCCACCAGTTTCAGGAACCTGGACTTTACCACCTCACCCTACTTCTATCTACTTCATAACTGGGTCCACTTCTGACCCTCCCTGCGATGACTGTCCTTGCCTAAACTACCTCCCTGAGCCAATGTCATAACCCCAAACTGAGCATCCTGCCTCCCTGCTGGTCTTCTCCAAATACCCCAAGCTCCTCTCTGCCTCAGGACCTTTTCACATGCTATTCCTTCCACCCTGAACACATGCCCCTCCCCCACTGCCTCCCCAGCTCTCACTCATCCCGCAGGTCTCAAGCTGCTGTATCATTCTGGGACTGTCTCACCCCACCCAGGCCTCATCCTTCATCATGACTGCCACTGTATTCGAGGCTCCTCTTCCCTGACCTGGTTCACATTGACAAGGGGGACGCATCTTTGTTTGCAATGATCTCCTAGTGGACTCTCTGCTCCTTATGGGGAGGAGCTTTTGTTCTGTCACAGTCTGTAGCTCTGTCCCCAGTACCCACTGCTCCCTGCCTGGCACTGGAGTTCTGTCAGCAAGCATTGAGTTAATTATTTTTCTGAGCACCCACTATGTGCCAGACTCAGGGAATAAATAAGACAGAGGGGGGCCTCTGTCCTTGAGGCCCTAACATTCTAATCAGACATTCAAAACAAACAAATATACACATTTTCAGGCTATAGTCAATGTTATGAAGGAAAATAGAGAAAAATGAGAGAACCCTGATGAACACAGCTCCACTGGGTGATCAAGGTCAATGGCATAGGGATCAGTCATGTAGATGGCAGGCCCCTGATGTGATGTGCTGGGAGGGGTCCTTCACCTCTGTGGTCTTCCTCCAAATCCATGACCAGAGGCTACCCTGAGAAAAACATCACACAAATCCCAATACAGGGACATTCTACAAAATTCCTGACCAATACTCCTCAAAACACCCAAGGTCATCAAGAACAAAAGAAATCTGAGAAACTGTCCCAGTCCAGAGGAGCTAAGGCCACATGACAACTAAATGCCATGTGGGCTCCTGGATGGGGTCCTGGACAGAGAGAGGACAGCAGGTAAAAACTAAAGAAGTCTGCATAAAGCAGGGACGTAGTTAATAACGTGTCAATGTTGGGTTGTTAATATAATGAATGTACCAGGCTGATGTAAGATGTTAAGAGAGGAAAACGGGTGTGGGCATATAGGAACTCTCGGTAATGTCTTTGCTATTTTCCTGAAAATCAATAGAAAAAAGCTGTTAAAAAAGAAAAGTCTATTGAAAAAAGGTAGTTTGGGGACAGAGATCAGGGGCCCCTGGGGATCAGGGGCTGGGAGGCCTGTTGGAGGAGGTGGCACCTGAGCAGAGGCAGGAGGAAGATGGGAGGAGCAGGGGGCCCACAGGGAGCAGCCTGGGACGAGCTGGGCGAGGGAGCCGGGCGGGGGCCCGAGAGCGATGGCAGGGGAGGGGAGTGCGGAGCCAGCCCTGGACCCTCACCCCCTGGGGGGCCGCGGGGCCCTGAAACCTCAGGGGCAGAGGTGGGTGACCAGGACAGTGATTACTGGAACCGAGTGACGGCATTACATTCAACTCAACAACTACCACAGCACCTGCCTCGTGCCAGGATGTGGGGGCAACGGGGACTGGGAGTCAGGGCAGAGACAGATGAACCACGAGCAAGAAACAGAATTATGAAAGGAGGGCCTCCCAGCCAAGGGGGCAGAGGGACCCCATGGAGTCTGAGAAGACTAGGCAGCATTTGGGACCAGAAAGGAAATGCCAACACAGAAATCAGGTGCACGGGGCAGGGGCCGGGCCAGCCCGGCAGAGGGAGTGGGGAGGTCGAGGCTGGGGGAGTGGACACGGGTGCTGATGTCTCAGCGCGGGTGGACTTACTCTGAACATGAACCAGCACGGGAGGGCAGGAGAGGCGGGTGCCCCATGGGAGGATGAGCTGCGGCCCCAACGCCCCACTGGGCCAGAGTCAGGAGAACCACCTCACCACACGGCTCATTTGTGATTCCTGGCTAATAGCTGGAAGTGTTTTGTAGGCAGAATTTTAAATGCGCCCTAAGCTTCCAGGCTGCTGGTGTACACAGATCCTTGGAATCGCCGGGACTGGGAGGACGATGGACTACACCCCCTGGTTAGGTTGTTATAGGACACGGTTGACCTCAAGCCAAAGATTTTATCCAGATGGGCCTGACCCCGTCATGACAGCCCTTTGAATCTGGATCTGGAGGTCAGAGGAAGGACGGCAACCAGAGCTGAAGCGCAAGAGGAATCCAGCGAGAGAGGCCGGCTCTGAAGATGGAGGGGTCACGGGGAGAGGAAGGGGGTGCCTCTAGGAGCAAAGAGCTGACTCTCCCCAGAGCCTGCAGAAGGGAACTCGGCCCGACCACACTTTGATTTCAGCTTCGTCAGACTGAGCATAGAACGCAGACACGCCGTGCCAGACCTCTGACCTACAGAACTGTGAGCTAACAAACAGATGTTGCTTTAAGCCACTGGATTGGTAATTAGTTACTCAGCAATAGAAAATTAATACAAACAGCATTCTGCTGCCACAGATTTCAAGCATCAGCTTCATAGGTAATACCACAACCACTGTATTGAAACACCACAGTGCGCTGCTGGGGCTTACACTCGAGTTATAGCTCTAACCAGAGTTAGCTGTGT